GGGGCGATTCCTGATAACTCGAACTTTGGATAACTCGAAACGATTTGCCCGGTCCCTAAAAGTTCGAGTTAACGAGTTTTCACTGTAATAGCATAAAAGAGATTTAAAAAACAGGGTCATGCACATCACCCTAACATAGATTCATATCAAGTTATGACCTATGGATACTCAGCCACCATGAAGTAATAAACATGACATCAACTTCAGTAGAACACCATTTTTCTGACATATCAGCTTTTCTTCTGTTCATTAATAGGTCACACTATTAATTGATGCATCAATACATGTATCAATTAAAGCCATCTATGACCTATACAGCTGTCGACAATTCTACTGTCTCACTCCTTTTTTCAGTTCCCCTCTCTCCCTATAGTCTCATGAGGAGAGAGAAAAAGCTGTAGCGAGGAATTTCGTGTAGTGATCTGATATTGGGATCTCTGATCACCACAAGCAGCACTGGAAAGTACTGAGTAGATGGACTGCACACAATTATATAGAATACAGATATCTCGTATTCAGTAAAGTCTGGTCTGTTAATACACTATTATAAAGTGTTCCATATTTCTATTATTTTCTTGGACCTAAGATCAACTGTGAAGATCAGCATTTGAATATCAGATTCCATTTCATGTTTCAAATAATGAGATGGAGAGGAAAACATTCCTCCAAGCATATCTTTTCCTTAGATGACTTGTTTATTTCCTTCATGACATTTGTGAACTCTAGGTTCTCAGCATTACATAATACCAGAACAGTAGCATGTAAAGGATTTTGTCAAAAGTACATCCTCAAAAACCTCACAGGATCAGGGACTTTCCACACATTATAGTTCACATCTCATAATAAAACAAGAAAACCTATTTGAAGGCTTAAAATATACTAACTTTTCTCATCATACCAGTCCTGTCAACCATTTCATTTGAAGAAACATTTTTGTGCAATATGGAATACAATGGGCCAAATGTAAGACACACAGATGGTGATCTGACACTCATTTCATACCAATATGAAGAAAGTGAATGAATATTTCCCATACAATCTCTCTACCTTGGAAGGGATACAGCAGGTAGGAAATGGTTGCCATTTCACCACAGTCCATAAAGGAAGTACAGTACTCACCTGTGGGTCGACTTCTGGAGGGATATTGATTGGTGTTTCTGGTTCACCTTCCATTCCCTCTGCAGTATATGCAGCTTGAGACTGGTCATCCCATTCTTCTTCCTGTGAATATATAATAAAAGCATCACATAAATAATTTTTAAAAAGCAAAGACGCATGAGCAAATTCTGGGAGCACTGCACATCAAGAAGAATTAGAACATAGCACTTACAGCTGCTGAAGATGAATCCATCACATGAATATCACTTATTTCGTCCTCTTCATCCTCTTCCTTTATCACCACTTCATCAGTTGATGCACTTGTACTTGGTTCAGGTTGAGCATAGTGGATGTGAGATGAGGAAGGAGCCTGAAACACATAAAAAATGGCCTAGGCCTAGAAAATTTTCCATGTAATTCAACTGATAATACAAACAGTGAAGTTAACAATGGTTCAAGTATTGTATGTATGCTTAGTCGTTTTTAACATGAAAAAATAACATAATGACAATACATCGTTTTGGAATTCTTTAGAGTCTACTTTAATGAATCTGTTTTTTATTTATAATTTAGTGCTTACTTACCACACTGACTTACATACATATAGCATTACTTGTAGCCCCAGACTGAGTTATTTCATTACATTCTGGTCCTTGGGTCAAGCAGTTTGATTCCTTTTTGTTATCATATTTGTCAATTGCATCAACTAACTAACTTATGTACTTATTGTGCCTGCATTGCATTCCACACAAAGTTCTGTTGCATTTGAAGAAAATTATTGTATGGTATTTCTACCATAATAAGTATGGTAGAAATGGAAAAAACATAAAAACTTCATTAAGCCCAAGCCATATCATTTACCTTTGTAGTTTTTGTCATCATATGGATGAGCTACCATCTACTATTGTTAAATTCAATGCTTCCTTCATTTTACATTTCTTTTCACTTATGAACTTTTTGTTGACAAAAATTTTGACAAAATTTTCTTGGCAAAGCATTTGCACACAGGAGCTCAGAACAACAAACACACTAGCTGCTGCTGCGGAGTATGTTGCCCAATGAATTTCTGCCTGTTTCGTAGCATGGGAGGTTGAGATCGTGGCACTTTTGCTGAGTGGAACTGGGGTTCATCAAACTCCTGCCAAGTATGGGCACTGCTCTTCCTCTTGTGGGCCAAAGCATCATGAACATCGGACACGGGGATGGTCGTACTGCTGCCCACACTGTGTGATCCACTGCTCTTGGATTTGTCTCCCTTTAACCCCTTCACCTCTAAGTTCTCTGCAACTTCGATAAACTTCTCCAGGTCCATGGCAGGGACTTCAACTTCTCCACAGTACATGAACTCCACTAAAAGCTTGAGCAATTGCATTTCCACACCATAAAAGTGAATGGTAGGCATTCCTGGTCCGTCCTTGTTGAGGATTCGTTCAAAATACCCACTCCCAGCACACAAGACCAGTTTATGGGCTTTCAGAAACTGCCCATTGCAGGACATGGTCACATCCACAAACATCTCCCTTTGACGGAGATTTTCAAAGCTCTGAAATGTTTCTCCATGATGAGAATTCCACTTCAAGTTGTATTTATTAGACATGACTTCTGTCTTCAAGTTTAGCCTACATGAACCTGTAAGAGGATGGCAGAAAACTTTAATTCAGGGACAGAATACCATGCTGAGAAATTAGCTTACACTGAAACTTTTCCTAAAACAAAGAATAGCTTTAATTTTTTCCTTAGTAATCAGGCAATGTTGGTGATGACAACTCACTAACTTACACACATTCATTCCAGCTGTTAGCCCTTATCTGGGCAACAGTAGTCCATTGGACTCCCCACTGAACATTTCATTGCATATGTTATGCCTTTGCTTTGAAATACCAGAGCATATGATGCAACTTCTAGGGTATGAGACACTTTCTTAATTCCTCCTGTCTGGTTCTTGTCGTAGCTATCTATGATAATTCTGCTATAGACAGCAGAAACATGGAAAAATAGAAAGGTAGAAGAACCATCCACTTGAGGCTCTCAGAGCAGAAAAGTAGATTTGACAACAAATATATATAGAAAAAAAAGTCCACTGCTAGTCAATGTTGGGCCTTTACCAATAAACGCTGTTGGGACCAGCACTAATCTTAGGCTTTGATTCCTCAACAGGTTAATTGTACTCCTGAGGCCTTAACGTGCCTCTAAATCTGCAAATGGATTCGTATCACACTTCACACGATGCGATGCTGTTTCTAAGGGGATTTCAAGGTGATCAAGTTATATCTTCCATGACAAGAATAACACTTGCCCTCTGGAGTCTATATTAAAGGTTAAACGAATTTACTTGCAAATCACGGTATTAATCTGGCGATATATATGCGCATGCTCCTCGATATATCCCAGGGCCCAAGGACAAACGTGACTATGAATGCGCCTATAGCTACCGCATCGGATCGCCGAGACCACTGATCTTCGAAGCGAAGTCTTACATAAAGGAATACCGAGATGCAAGCCCGACCGGAAACTTTTTCCGGAGTCACTTAGATCCATGTTGCTGCGATGGGACATCTACACTACCATAGCTCATGCCGTAGTTCCGTCTTCTCTAACCAGATGTCGTACCTGTTGCATACACAAGCACTCTCGAGGCGAATATTGATTGGATGGACACTCCCGGACCCGGAAGTGGACCGTTGCTGAATCAAAAAAGGCATTTTGGGAACACAGGCAAATCCTTTGACGCGATTTGGAACGTTTTTTCATTGAGTTCAGCTATTTACTCAAGTAAATTTATGCAAATTTATGAAGTTGATAGATTTTCCCGCTCAGTACGTGAACTCTCCACAGGACACATTTCCGGAAAAAAAAAGATTTGGTGACTTCCGCTCGATCCTCTAATGAGTTGCAGCGAATGTGAAAGCATCTTACATGTGAGCATATGCTAGTTTTCGCACCTAGGTATCTTTCCTCAAAGAGATCAAAGAAAAAAAAAAAACAGGAGGTCGCAGTCTTTATTTTCTTACATGGAAGGGAATGCGATATAACAATGCGGAGAAAAGAGTTGAGTTGTGGGAACGTTCCCCTAGAGTCAATACAATGTCATCGATCTTGAAGGTCAAAGTCCAACGTTGCGCGAATATTATAGCAATGTTATGGCACTATGATACTTTCTCAAATCGCGTTTTTAAATCATATTTATGGTAGCATCATGAAGCATGCATCGCCAAATAGGAGAGGAAAAAAATTATTTTCAAGAAACGACCAAGAACCTAACCATTGTTACCGCCTCAGTAACACTAGATATTGGCTCAATGCTGGACCAATATTGGGCACTATGACCAAAAGTGCCCAAGTAGCAAGGACTTTTTTTTTAAATGGAAATGTCGAAGTTCTCCTCTTGGCCACGAGATGGAGGTATGGGTCTCGCTTTTCGCACAGTATACCAAAGTGCACTTTCCTGAAACTGACTGAAAGCACTTCAACCCAGATAACACGTTGGGTAAAGGTGGGAAACGTTGGCGGAACGATGTTGGCCCAATGTGGGCATGTTGAAAAGAACTGTACAACACCTGGTGGAGAACTTCAACGCCTTGAAGTTCTTCGCCAGGCCACTAGATGGGGGTAAGGGTCTCGCTTTTAGCACGATAGGCAAATGTTCCCTTCTCTGTTTCCCTGGAGTCGTCCTTCGCAGGGTTGTTTAGTACCTCGCTGTATGTCTCGCCTAGCCTCATTATACTGTAGGAATCAATAAACGCGGACATTTCATCATTTGTCACCCACTTATTCAAGACAGATTCATGGAGCTCAGGCCATAAACAAGTTCATATTCCCGATGAGAACCCTTTTGAAAATCAGTAGCACATTATTCGAAAGGGACGTCTGGAATAAGAAGGGAACATCCTTGTGCTCAAACCCGCCATTTCATCATCTCGACGGCAGGAGGAAGTAAAGGACTGATATGGCGGATGCTTTAGAGAAATGTACGATGTGGTTCATCCTCGACAGGTACGGAATTCAGTACTGACGGGTAGATCTACGTCTATACTGTCGTATGTCTCCTGCCTATCCTGGGTATATATACACGTCCAATGGCAGGTTGTAATACATAGTACAGGTTCCGTACTACAGACGGGAATATCTCCACCGGATAATGAATTTAAGTATATGGTACGAAATGATGGCCAATATAGAGCAAAAACCAGTGGGTAATACGTTGCTATCCAACTTACTGCCTAACTGACAACTTACGTGGGGCCTACGTTGTACCCCATGAAAAATGTAATCTGGGAACGTACTACCAACACTAGTCCATCAGAACATTTCTTGTCCAAGATGGAAATAAAGGTACCAAACTTGTCAAAATCTGCCAGGGAACTCTTGTTCCAGATCTATCTAGGTCAGTCTGTCTTCCAGATATGTATTTTCCCGAGCAACGAGACCCAGAAAAGTCTCTGATGTTCAAGGCTAGTCTTCCCATCAGTAGTTTACTTGTTTTAGCTTGGTCTGCACATTTTTGAATGCTCAGCATATTCAGTACTAGGTACCCAAAACAGCACACCCCAAAAAAGCATGACAGTGCCTTAATCAATGGAGAAAAATAAGGACTCTTTCTGCAGCACATGTAGGCAGGTATTACAATATTGAAACACAGGGAAGAGTGGACAAGCTGATCTCTTTTCATTCCAAGCGAGGGGCTTCGACTCCACCGCACACTGCACATTCCTAAATTCAGCCTACCGCATACTCACTCCACTTTGACTTATGTACAATGTCATCAGCCCAGGGATCAGATACGGTAGTCCTTGCGAGATCCAAGCGTTGCACGGGCGGATTGGGCGATCCCCACCGGCACAGGCGATGTCAAAGTACGCTACCAGAATCCACAGTGAGAACTTGGTTAATCCACTGAAAATTTGGTCATCAGAATGATTTTACCAATACCACAAATTAGCTGATGCCACAATCAAGAGTCAAACCACAGACTTGAAAAGCGATCAGGTATTGCTCTGAAGCATGTGCCTTAAGAAAAAAAGCTTTTAAAATAAATTTGCAAGTCTTTGGGGGGAATGTCTAGGACACATGCACATCCTTTCACTCACACACTCACGACTAGAGTATTTCCCTTATCAACCTAGATTGCAGGCCTAATTTGCTTAAATTCAGATCTCTTGGATAAATCTTTACCAATGAAAAAGGAATAATAAATAAGGAGACGAGGGCGAGAATATCACACGGAATATCGCATCAAGATAACCATGGAAAATAAGCACTTGTCTCTCTATCTATGTTTTGGTTCACATGCGATGCGCAGACGGGACACGTATCCCGCCGGCAAAGTTCGGGCCTTGCTGCTGACTAGGGTCCTTCTCGAACTCGCTCCACGCATCGTTAAGTTCCACAAAGATGAGCTTAGCCAAGTCTTCGTTCTCAGTCCCCACTTGCTGGAATTGAAGAGTACACATCACATGGTATCAAAATTGGACAAAGACAAAGCATCGGGAGAGGTCGAGTCGACGTACCTTGTCGGGATGGACGGCGAGACAGGCTTTGCGGTAAAATTTCTTTATGTCATTGGCAGAGACCAGCTGATGCATCCCAACTTCTTCCCAACGGCAGCCATCCCAGATTATTGTGTGTAGTGAGCCCAAAAGTGCTCTGATGTTACGCTGCTTTCCATTAGTCCAGTCCAGGATCTATTTGAGGTGAAATGCATGTTATATAAACAAACCATGACATTGCTTCAATTTCTGTACCTGGAAGGAAACAAAATTCATACTTTGAGTTTGGTGGGATCCACTTCTTTGGTCTGGATTTCCCGCCTCATTGCATTGATTGTTGTTGGACCTTGATCCTTCTTTGTGGAAAACTCAAATCCCTGCGAGCCAAGGAGATCCCCAAACGTGTCAGCAGAAACTTTGGGCTTGGGCCCAAACGGCTTGGAATTCCCATCCCTCCCAAAGACCGAGTCAAAGTTTGTACGACTGTAGTCCGGTTGGGCTTGCTGTCTCAGTTGAGCATTCCGAGCTTCATTGCCCTGGACTGAAGACACAAATGCACAGTCCTTATGCATCAAAATAATATGAAACAATGATGAAGTGCCATAAGAATTTTGAGAAACATTGCATTTGTAAAAAGAAAATTCTGGATGCCATGTCTATTCCTTTATATTTTTTATCTCCCTAACTTCATGTTTGCATTGACATCTATATCTTAACTTCCTTCCCCTTACCATAACCCTCTTCTGGCTTTATGTCATGGTGGCAAATGCACAATTTTTCTCAATAGGAGCCTACTGTGTTCTGGCATTGCACAAAAATCAGTTGCAACCATGGTAACCAAGCATCTCCAGTCTCACCACATCCCATGAGCTTTTGGGGAAGGAGTTGTCAATGTTTGGACTGTGTGAGACAGGCTTGGGAGAAGGGGGATAAGTGACAAATGACCCACAAGTCATTATGTGTAAAACAAATAGTCCATCGCAGATCATATGCTGATTTATAAGCACCATAATGGACTTCATGGGGACACAGAATCCATTAACTCCCAACAGGCAACATTGAATCAAATAATGTTACCTCTGACTCCAGGGGGGCTTTGTGCAGAACCTGGAAATGGCTTTGTTTGATGCATGGGACTATTGGGCTTTGACCCTCCCAGCCCGGCCAAATTCCCTGGAAAAACAAGAAGCCAAACAAAATTATACCTCCTCCTGTAATAATGCACTCCAGACTATCATCATACAGGTAAAAATATATACCAAGATCTGCAAAAGGATCAGACTTAGCAGCAGCTTCAAGATTAGGAGTGGAAGAATTGCGAGGGAGAGAAGCTTTTCGGGCCCCATTCATGAAGGAATCCCAGCCACCCAAAAGGTCTCCTCCTGCACCACTGGAACCTTTTTCTGCACTGTTAACAGTAGCTGCTGATATGAAGTTTCCTGTGCTGGCCGAATGTGTCATATTCTGCACAAAAATGGCACATGCTATAGAGGCACCACAGACTCCATATATTCAAGGAAATGGCAATTTCCACTCACTGGATGGGGTACCCCTAAAGAAGCACCTCCAAATGGGTCAAAGAAATCAGAAGTTTTTGATGTTTGTTGCATGGGAGTAGGACCGCCAAAGAGATCAGTGAAGGTGTCAACACCCAGCTGTGTGGATTCACTTGGAGCAGTAAACTTAGTGGGTGGGGAAAGGCCTTTAAGAAGGGGAGAAGTTGGCCCTCCTGAATCTTCCAGATTCAGAAGTCCCACATCTGGTAATTCATCTTGCTGTCCAGTACTGGCACCAGTACTTCCACAAGCACCATTAGTCTCAGTACCTCCAAGATTAAGTAGGTCTGCTGTGCCATCATCAACAGCAGATGAGTCTTCCTCTTCTTCACTTCCTGAGAGAAGCTGCCCTGCTTCTTCTGAGGGAACCTGAAGCTGAAGAATTTTTTTTCATTTTACAGAGTAGAAAGAAAAAAGTACTTCTAAACAATATTTTGCAATCATTTTCAATACCAAGTAGCATGCAGACATCAAGATAACATACATATTGATCATGTTGAGCTTCCCAATTCAAGGATGCCATAAAATCTCTTGCTTTTTGGTTTTCATCAGCTGCAGATAGTGGAGATGGACCCCTAGCAGGAGATGGAGGAGGAGGGGGTGGTCTCTCAGGTTTCTTCACTTTGACAGATGCTATCCAATGAAGTCAAAATGTTACTTCTTTGCAGACACCAGAAGAAATGCCCCAAGGGCTATATACTCCTAGGCACTTACCAAACTTTTCCCTTGCCTCCTGAAAATCCTGTCTGGAGACAAATGCATGGATTGGGTCCCGAGGCTGGGCCATAGCCCAAGGAGGTGGTGAGGGGACCTGAATGGGATTCCCCACTCTTACTTCCAAGAGAGCCGAGAATTGACTGGGATATCGTTCTGGCTCTTGCACATCATCGATGTCATTTCTGATGTAGAGAAGTCATTCTATTGCAATGAAATAGTCTATATGGATCAAATTGAGGGACGAAAGATGGTTCTAACTTGGAGAAGATGAGATGCGTTTGAGATGGCTGAATGAAGCCAGTGTGAAACTGGACCTGAAAGATCTTGATCCCAGATACTTTCCCAGTACCTTGCATCTTGCTTCCAAAGGTACTCCTAGCATGGTACACCAGCAGAGAGACGTCACCATTGAGGCTCACATTCAAGGGGAATGTCATCTAAGAACCAACCCACAACCAATGCATTCCAAAATCAAGTGACATTTCATAACCATTTCATAATTAGGGCAAGTACTCACCCTGCCCTCACTGATATGGTAGAGCCGTAATCGCTCATAATCAGCAATCGTTGATAAGAGCAACTCATCACCGCTCCAGACTTCTACATAAGGGCGGCAGCCATCCCTATGGAGAAAGCAGAAAGATGGGCTTGAGTTTATCAAACATGATGCAAAGGAATCAACTTTTTTTTTTAATTACCTCATTTTTGTAAAAGCTGGAATGGGCTGAAGAATGAGAGACTGAAGAGTCACAGATCGAGTGTGAGGTAAAACTGGTGGGTGATGACTCATCTCTGATATGTAGCCTATGTACCTAATGGCCAACACAAGTAAGATTTCATTTTTAAAACTACAATTTCCACCTGATGCGAGAGTGAGAGTGAGAGAGAGAGAGAGAGAAACCTCATCTGAGAAGGTTGAAGCTCAGGAGGAGCCCGTCTGAGAGCAAACATCTGCACCGCATCTGCTGCTCTATCAAAGACTCCAGCAAAACAAAGGAAGGCGCAAGCCAGAGTTGCAGATGAGGATTTGCCATCCTATGTGAGAAATAAGTTGCAATAAAAATTTATCATAAAAGCCTTCCCCCATCAAAATTCCTAGAACTCACAATGCAATGGACAATGGCTATGTTTCGAGGATCCATTGCTAAGAAGTCATAAGTGCTCTGACACAGAGAGTAGAGGGTGACCAGTGAGGGTGCACGTTTGGCCGGCCAACCACAGTCAGTCACACGAGCGTTAAACTTGGCCGATGAATATGATCGGCCCGAAACATTATATATAGCATAGTGGCCACTGTGACGGGATTCCAGGAGGGATCGGACATCTTCAACATGGTTTCGATAGGCAGACTCCAACCCCTCTGCAGGAAATGGCATCACGGCCAGTCGAGACGTCAGATAGGTAAAGTCCAGGTCTGTCTTGGCAATTGATCTGTCATGTAAAATTATTTATATTGAACAAAAGAAACACTTTTGAAAACTTTGCATATTTGGACATGAAAAACTCACTGTTGTACAGTCTGCATGACTTTGGAAGAAGTGTCTTTGAGGTTTTTCAGGAAGGAGCCAGCTCCACCCCGAAGGGATGTGAGAAACCCAGGGACATTGGGTGGACTGGGGTAACTGTGAGGTGATGGAGCCTGAGCTTGTGGAGGAATGTGATTTGATGTAGCTGCATGTGGAAGTGGGGGTTGTGGTGCCGTTCCATTTGGATTCATCATCCCTTGCTCTAAAAACATTATTCAATGGAAGTCAGAATTCATTGGTTATCATTCCCATTGCAGGGAAACATCACAAAAGCATCACTATGCACAAATTAGAAACAGCACATTAAAATAAAATAAATGGGAATGCTGGCACAATAAAGCCAACTGGCAATCATCACCTTCACAGCTGGCCAATACACCTCTAGCATCCCATGAGAAAAACATCACATTCCATACCAGCACAGAGAAGAGACTCTGAATATTTGAGAAGATTCAAACAGCAAAACACTTGGTACAACATGCACGTCCACACATGCCTACAAGAGATGACACCAAGGAGAACTAGGGAGGGAGGGAGAGGGGCAGATCCAACTGCAAGTTCATCCTCAATAATTGAACCTACACCTCAGATGCAGTTCATAACAAGGAAGGGAGCAACAACAGTTTCAGCTTAAAGGAACAAAATGGAAAAGAGCTCACTTGGAAGGTGTTCTTGTTGGACTGGAGCTGGGGAAACTGCATGAGTTGGAGGACATGGAAGAGACAAATTTGGATTCTCCTTCAAGTTTATTCCCTTGACTTCAGCAATCTCTGCTATTCTATCCAAGCAGTCACTGATGGTTGGCCTTTGCCTAGGGTCCACTTGAAACATGCCTCCTACCCAATGAGAACAGAACCAAATTGGTCAATTAAAGGATTGATGCTGCAGCACAAGAGGAAAATGTTAGGTTTCATACGAATGAGATCATGGTAGACTTGGAAACGACCATCCTTGGCTGGAATGGTGTAATTGGCATTGATGATTCGGAGTTTGGCCGAGTCTTCATACGGATGTGACATGAAACAGAGCATATAGAGAATGCACCCCAGGGCCCATATATCCACAGCTACATTGATGGGATAGTTATTCCATGTGTCCAGCATCTCGGGAGCTCGATACATCGGGGTTGTGTGCTCGGTCATCTGAAAATCAAAGAGGAGCAGTTCACAGTAACTTGGCCAATAGGAATGGTGCAAAATCCAGAAATATAAAGTGTCTAGAATCAGACCATGGGCATTTGAAGAGCCCAACTACCCTGAATAAAACTCACTTACCACATCTAGTTACATCAATGTACAATTTCACCTACCTTTCCCTAATAGTTTTGACGAGAAAAATTTAAACATCTATCTATACTGGATACTATATCATTAACCTTTTTGCAAAACAAAAAAAAAACTATTTCACAATTGGAATATTGGACCCAACCCTAATTCAAATTTTGCTAGCATCCACTCCAGGATTTCTGAGCTTTTTTGGAACATACAATAACAATATATGTCCACACACACCATCACCCTTCTATTTCTCTATCCAAATGCCCAAATGGGGTACATAATAGTGCAGTAAGAAAGTATGCAAATAAATAATAAAAAAGGGGGTTGAGAACATGATATGACATCTTCACCTCATCTTCCACAAGGGCTCTCTTGTTGGCAGGCCAAGACAAATCTGGAAAATGGCATGTGGTGGTTGCACTCCCAAAGTCACAAAGTTTGATTGCTCCATCATTCCCCAGCAACAAATTCTCTACCTGTAAGTGCACACATAATAAGACTAATGAAAAACCAAGCAGGAACCAAATCACCAGGAAATGCTGAAAATAGATTGCCTTCAGGTCTCGATGGATTATAGGTGGGTCCTGGCGATGCATCAGCTGCACAGCCCTGCATGTCTGATGGAAAATTTGTGTCACAGTCTCCAAGGGTAGAGGGTCAGAACGACTTCGAAGCACATCAATCAATCCTCCACAGCATAATTCTGTCACAAGGAGGAATTCTGCTCGGCCAGTGTCAGAACGAGATCCAATGCAGTCCACAAGCCTCAATATATTGGGATGCCCGCTCAGTTGACGCTATTAGTTTAAGTGGTTAAGGAGTGGTTAAGTCATCCTAGAAGGAAATTTTTTAATTAAAAAAATACTAGTATTATGCTAAGTAGGCCAAACACAATACACATCCTCTTTAAAAAAAGGAAGGAGTAATTAAAATCCAATGAAAAAGATACAAGAAATGCAATCTCCTGCATGACCTTCTTCCTTGTCTTTTCATCAGCTGCCAGCAACCTCTGTAAAACAATTGCCAAAACATAGGTATGTGATACATCATCCCTGGGATAGGAGAATAAGAAATTAGGCCAAACTTAAAACCTTGTCCAAATATACCAGATATTGATTCAATTAGCTAAGACCATGAATTCTCACCTTGACAGCAAATTCTTCTCCTGTCGAAACATCTTGAGCAGCATACACAAAAGCAAAGCCACCTAAAAAGGAAACATCCTTTCAATAGTAATAGCAAAGATTTTCCCTAAACATTAAGGTCTGAATGACAAATATGAAAACTGCAAGCCTTGGAAACAATCACGTCTCCTACATGATGTAACACAATATGTCAATTAAAACATTGGGTCTCACACGAACAAAACTATAAAAATTTGAGCTGACATACCTTCAGCAATAACTCGAGTGATCCTTAACTTCAACTTCCCAATTTCCAGAACTTGTCCAACAAAGTCATTGGTAGGTTGGGTGGTTGGAGGTGCTGAAAAGTAGTTCCAGGCTGACTTCAGGCTCATCCCTCTGAGAAAGGAAAATAAAGCAACTTCTTTGAAAGATTGCTATTAGGTTTAGTCCAAATGTTCCTTTAAAAACTTATCAAGCTTACAACAGCTACTAATATTAGGATTCATTCAAGCCTATAAGTTTTCAGTGCTACATCAATTATAGAGGTTTATTTGGGTGAACTCAACACCTTTTCACTTGAATCCAACATGTATGCATGAGAAATACCAAATCCTAGTTGAGAGTCAGAGCCATCTGAGTGCTGGGCATATGCTCAAGTTAAACTTAAACCTAAACAAAAAACAATACTCACTGCGCTAAGAGATATATCCAATTCAGGACAACTCACATGAAAACAGTAGACTTAAGGTAGCAGGCCTACTTTAAGACAATTTTTTCCAACTCTATTCCTTCCCAGAAACCAAAGTGACTATATTAAAGTTGATGGGGTATATATTGCATTCATTGAGATAATTTGCATAATTTATGCTAATGAGGTCCAATATGGCTGCCAGAGCACAAACAAATGAATGAGAAAAAAATTTGTGACCTAATTACATACTCAATGGTACCAAAAAGTGCTAATGGATTGGATAAATGAAAAAAATCTACCATCATTCCTTGGAGGAATATTCAAGGTAGCTCTCAGTCAAAAATGATGGGTGTGGGTGTATTACACAAAACGTTATGCTGTTCAGAGCAGCTAAAACTGACAGCTAAAAAAAGGTGTAACAATAAAATTGCAACCAACGTGGTTGCCAGTGACAACAGGTTAGGGATGCTGATAACAAATTAAGCTAATAAAGAATTATTTTTATATTTTCAGCTTTTAATGGCATGAATCTGCACGAGTTTAAGTACGATTATGTTCAATTTTTCAGTAAAACTTCTTTTTTCCAAAAATGACTATTTGAAAGCAGGTCTGCTACCTCAAAGTTATTATGTCAGTATTTTGTCACAGGCAATCATCTTCACAATCAACATGAAGTATATTTCGACACATTTATATACAAAGAATGCGGGAAATCCAGGTATATATTGGGCTAGGAACACTGGGACACATAGGTTGAGAGCTATCATGCAGCAGAGCTATGGGTATGTGCACACTGCAAAGCCTCAGCAGGACTAAGGGAACATAGTAGTGAGTAGGTTTTGCTGCTAGACTGTATCAACTATAAGCAATCCAATGCCAAAAGGGGTCTCGTTCACCAAAGGTACATCGATAGTTTAAAAAAAAAATGTTTGAAACTGTCACATGCATGTGCATGAGAATGCCGACAGGAGAGTAACATGTGAGAAGTAGGGAGTGCATAGAGAGGATAATGGGCATGTAACATAGTCTGCAAGTAATCTGCAATGCCCAGCACACATTCGCATAATGTGCACTGATATTGCACATTCTAACTCATAATTTTATTTTCCATGAGGGATTTTGGGGTACTCGCTTGCTGCATTATGGTGAATCCAGAATAATTTGGTCTTAAAAGAGAGATAAGTGGAATGAGACTTTGTTATCACTGTTTGTTCCATTTTTGGCCTGGTTTATAAGAAATCCAAGGAGAAAAACAACTTTTAAGACTAAGTCACATAGGCCTAGAGTCTAATAATAAAGACTTTAGACTAATGTTACATTTTACAATAGGATAGACATCAACCAGAACTCACCTTTTTCAGTGAAAGCCGTGATCTCAATGTTCCAGTCATAAATAGATAACGTCACATCCTCAGGTCCACATTAGGCCAATCGTCGAACCTCAGCTGAGCGTCCAATCGTGACACTGCCAACCCAATGGCATACTCAAAACCCTAAACGCACAAAACGACCCCACACCAGTCAACAACATGCACCCCCTTCGACAACAGCAAAAACCCAAGCGGGCACCCTGGTTCACTCGAGCATCCACACGTCGTGCAACCAAGGACGAGTGGCACTACACCGTAAGGTTTCACGTCACTTCTCATGCACAAACCACCTGCGCAGACATATTGCACCTCCTCGAGCATCCTAGACAATAGAGGTTACGCACTGGGACGAGATTAAGAAGAAAAATTGTGTAATATATATTTCAAATAAATATGTAATAAACAACTGTATACCATGTGTAAATATAACACATATACATATATACATATATATATAACACATGAACATTTTATGCATATATAATATGTATATTTATATACGGTATATGTCGTATATATACAGTATATAATACAGTATATACATGTAAATAAAGAGTTTGCCCGATGACGCACATACAACTATCTCTCGCTTCATTGTTTGGATATTTTCGATTCGATCTCTAGCGGACATCGAATCCGACAGTCATCGATAAAGATGAGGCGATAAGTAGGGCGAGGCGAGAGAAATGCCAGGCGACCGAAGGCGAGAGAAAGCGGGTCGGTCCGGGAACAGACGGATCGAGGCTGGGAAGGATACGGGCGGAATCACGTGGGGACGCGCCCACCAGAAGCGGGGCGGGGCGGGGCGGGGAGAAAGTCCCCGAATGAATGAAATTGAATAATGAAATAAAGCCACAGATTCTATCGTACTTCCTTGCGGTCGTATCGATCTATCGATCTGGAACGGGAAGCAGAACGAGATTGAAGACGGAGCCCAAAAAGAAATAATAATCCATTTATGCGATCGGAGCAGGGAAGAGATGATGAATATGCAAAAAGATCGAGATTTATGCAAGAAGGGAATACTGAGCGCAGGGGTTTATAGAGAAAATTCGATTTCAGGGGGTTGGAGAGATGGAAGGATGCGTATGAGGAATGTGAAAAAAAATAAGTTTGGGTAAAAAGATGTCAGGGTAAAGTGAACCGAATAAGTAATGAGTTTTCAACCGGGAAGAGCGGGGAAGCCATTCCAGCAAAGATGTTTTCATGTTTAATAATTTTCCCCCCGTTTTTGTTCACACTTCAAAACTTTTTTATATTTAATTTGTCGAGTAATATCAGACTGTGAACTAACTCTCGAGGCTGGTTCAAGGTCAAAGGTCAAAGGTAGGAGAGCGAGGAGGCACAGGGAAGACGGGAAGTGCAGGGAAAATCTGGATTTTCCTTTTTAAAAATAAGCAAGCTGAACAAAGTCACGGAAGGAGCAAATACTCATCACCTCGCGCGGCCACAAGGAGCCGCCCGGTCCCGGCGTCCCTTCCCGTCGGGAGCAGGAGGAGGTCTGGCGAGAAGACGGGGGAAGTGCGACGCGCGGCACTGCCAGCAGGGTTGTCGGTAGGGGGTTACCAGCCGAGTTCGCGTTCGGCAACCCTGTCGTCCGCCGTCGGGGCGTCCCTCGCTCGATGATCGCTCGTTAGTCGTCCGAGCACTCCCGTGGGGATGGGAGGGGCGTCGAGTGCTGGTCCGAGTGATCGAGGCGAATGCTTCGGGATCCGATTGGGTGACGGGTGGGGATTCGTCGGAGGGGGAATTGAGGGGTGAGCGAGCCTGATGGCTCTGATGAAGTGCACGGCTGATACTTTCGGCTGATGTCTGGCAGGAAGTAAGCGGTGGCTCGGCTTGGGAAACTCAGCAGAGAAGGGGATCGATCCACCTTCGAAGAACGCGCGAGATTCCGTCCGACCTGGACGGCATCTGAAGCATCAAAATTGAAACTTCCAGCGGGACCAGAAAATGTTGAAAACGCGTTGGATTCCCACGATGCACGAATTCAGCCGAAAAGGGCTGTGCGATCGGAGAGATGACATGGAAACCGGGAAAGCTGGAAGGGGAAGATAGCACGGAGAAGCACGGCAGCAGGAAAATGGTCAAACTTTTCTGCATTCTGCAGAGTAGAAGCCACTCGATGTCATCTCATCCATAACAATCGAGGAATAAATTACTGGAGAATATTAATATTGATTTATTTCATTTGATTTATTTCTCCACGATGGAAAATTTCTTTCATCTGACAGAGAAGCCGACACGATCCTTGTCAATCACCACAGCGATCAGACCCAATTTCTTTTTAGATATCGTCGGACGACCGAGCGCGAGACAGACGCAGACGCAGACGGGCCAGCAGGACAGACTCCAAGTGATCTCATTTCATGGAGGAAAAAAAAAAAAGAGTTCCTCAAAAGCCATTCTACAACCTCCGCATGAACGCCGTCGCAGCCTCCCGAACTCTGCTTCTTCCTCGCTCGCTTTCTCCCTCTTTGAACCTCCTTCCATCCGCCTCCTACCTTCTGTCATCCACATCCTACCTCTAGCCATCTATCTAAACTTCCTTCATCCGCCTCCGCCTCCTCCTCCCGCCATCCGCCTCCTACCTTCTGTCATCCACATCCTACCTCCACCCACGCTCCACGCCATCGATCCCCTTGATGAGGTACCTTCTCGTTTACCTCCGCTCGAGCGAATTTCGTCTGCTTTCCTCCTCGTGTTTTCGCTGTCCTACTTTCTTCATCGTCTCGCCATTCCGCCTCTGCGTTCTCTCTAATCACGTTGAATCCCATTTCGTTGCAGGCTCCCGAAATTAAGCGCAGCACTCTAAACGGCTGCCTGCCGCTCTTATGCCAGAATAATCTTGCATGAAAAAGAGATTTAAGGGCAGTGGCGGATCCAAGGGGGAGGGGGGGAGGGGGGAACCGCCCCCCCTACGAAAAATTTCTGTATCCGCCACTGTTTAAGGGTCGATCCAACGCATCCCGACTGTGGGTCTAATTCCAGAATTTCTTATCATTTGAAAGGGATTTTTGGAAATGCATAATCGATTTTTAATATTCGGGGGACTCCAGCCTCTCAGAACGAAATCGACGACGCAGCAACATCGTCTCTCTCGAGACCGCGTGATAGACTCGACGGCCCCCCCGCCCCCCTGCCCCCTTGCCCCCCTTGCCCCCTGGCAAGGCAACGAGGGATTTCGTGCCAGGGTGCCCGAGCGGTCTTTCCGCTCTTGCGTCGCTTCGTCTTTTCCGGCCGGTTCGTCACGAGACGAGGCGGATCGATGCCTCGAGGATTCCTTTGGGCTCGATGGATGTTTACCGTCGAAAATGGAATGAAATTGACTCATGTGAAAGGAGGGAGAGAGGCATGAGAAGGGCAAGAGGGAGGCACGAGGGAGGCACGAGGGAGGTTACCTCCCTCCAAGTTTTCGCTCAGGAGTCATCGGCGGCACAATCTCATATATGAAGTGGATGCATGCATTATTCACACGGGTGACTTCATTTTCCCTTATTACGTTCTCGAACCGATCATCCGTCGCGATGAGGGATATGGAGATGAGTCGGATCGAATCCTAATCCGGATTCCCGGAAGCGTTTTCGGATCGGACTCATTCTGCACTTTTTTTGTTTATAATTTTTTTTTTTCCTCTCTGGTTTGCCCGCAATCGTTGGGGGGTGGGGGGGGTTGCCACCTTTCCATTTAAAAAGATATATTTTGAAATGTAGACAAACATTTTTGACCCAGAAAAATATTTGAAGCGTACTTGCATGCGCACAGCAAAGTAGAAACGAACGAGAGGAACAAATGCGAAACGAAAATATTCGTGTCCTTCGGGTGGCGTCGCAGATGTCCGGGTTCGATTCTCGAAATGGGCGCAAGATGGCGTTTGCGTTCCCCCGAACGGTCCAACTCGAGATGGGAAAAAAAAAGGTATAATTTATCACGTTTTAATGGCGATCAATGATTCCGGAAATTTTGAAACGAGCGGCCAACTTTCAATATACGTTTAAAAATATATGTATAAAACTGTAATTGTAATTAGTGAAATTAAATCCGCGACGACTGGAGAAACGCAGTCTGTGAGACAAGCGCGACCTGTTGCGTCGTGGAGACCTTGCCGACCTGTCGCCGCCTCGTCCGCGACGGCTCGCCGGCCGTCGGGACCGCGACGACGGATGGGGGCGTCACTGAGGCTTGCTTCGAGGCTCGGCGAACGCCCCAAAAGGGGCATAGGCACACGGGGTCCTAGAGTACGTTTCTGCTTTGCTGGAAATGCCCACAGCCGCCTTGAGCCAAGGCAACGATCGATGCTGTAAGTGGGGCCTAGTGCTTTTGACTTACAGAAAATAGCGGTTTTAAGCTGCTCTTGAGGTTTATTCATTCAAAAAATCGTTACAAGTTTATATTATGAACAAAACAGTGTCTATATTGCAGACTAGTTTGCAGCATGAACATTGCATCTGAAATATATACAGTCCATATTAATTATGAGCCTAATTACCCCGAACCATATGACTTACTGCTGACACCAGAAACCTAAAGGAAACACTGAAATCAGCTACTTAAAAAAAATTAAAAACCGAAAACTGGAAACCCGTGAACCAGTGAGCAACAAAGCACGAGGAACAAAAAGTTTCGCCCTCGGAGCCACGACCGCACGCGACGAAGGCCGAGGAGGCAGTGGCGTCCTTCCTTGCACGCCCTCGTCTGGAGAACCGAAGGGAACCGATCGGGCAGCGATAACGCTCGCTGATTGGTTCCTCATGAGTGACGTCATAGGGCGGGGTCTGTTCGAGAAAGTGATTGGTTTGCAGTCGCAGTCCATCAGGTAGTTGTATCAGGCTTTCGTCGCAGAGAGCGGAAGCGAGGCTTCACAGTATCATATTGCATTAATCAGCTAAGTTCTAGGCTCGTTTGCGGAATTTTCATCACCGGTATTTTCGCTTTTAAAATAATGAACGAAAACAATAATAGGCGTCGTAGACCTACCTATATACGAATTATTCTCAGGTCTCCGTCGGCGGTAGGTGATGAATCAATCGGGAGAGTTGAAGAACAACGCGAGCGTTGCTCACGTCGATGGTCGTGAACGCAGGTGAGAAGCCACACCACAGTTCGACGCACCTTTCCCAGCGCAGGCTCTCGTCTGTCCGATCGTCAGCATCCCGGGATGCAAAATGCATTCAGCGCAACTCGCGAAGGATTATGGCACTGTGGAGTCTGCGAGTCACGTGACTCGCTCGGGATCACGTGACTTGCTCGGGATCACGTGACTCCGATTCCGCGCGGAGGCCCTTCAGCGCCAGTTGCCAAAGGAACGCCCAACGACGTGCTATTCCGAATATGGCGGAAGTGATCGGGTCCGAGTTCCGAACCTGGGGGAATGGGGCCTGGGTTCCCCTTGATTCAGCGAAGCCAGCGATGACAGAAAAAAATGCCCTTGTGAAGATGTTTAGTGAAAGTGTCACGTGTTAAGGGCAAGGATGACTTCCTATTAAAAAAAAATTATGGACTCTATTTACTCTTTTTCTTTTTAAAAATCCCCCGGAAAAGTTTACAGATTTCTAAGTTTAATAAATTATTTTCCTTACTTCAGCATAAAAATGTTAGAGACATCAACTAGTACACTCATCTTTAATTACTTAAAATTTCAATTACTTAGTTTATATTTAAAATCTTATTTCTATTTCACTTAAATTTTGCTTTTCCATTCATTTCCTGCATTGTTTCAGGGTCGCTCATACATTCAGTTTGTAGGCTCAACAGCAACAATGTCGAGTAAAGTTGATTGATTAATAGAGAGAGCTTCGAAACAAGATCCCCGTCATGAGAAGGGTCAAAATGGGGTTCAATACATGTGGAAACAGTTATCCAAACTCTCAGGTTTGGCGCTGACCTTTTCCGTATTTATTGTATTCCCAACTATCATTCCTTCAACCCTTATTCAATCAGGGGGGAAGAAATGGGGAATTGAATCCTATATCCAGAAATATAGCTCTGTTTTGCTTAACTATTACAGAGTTCAGCTACTAGAGGAGGAGTTAAAGTTTTGTGGCAACATGTTCAGAGGACAAATACCCAACAGGCAATCCATCAGCAACTATGGGAATAGTGGACATTACTGCACCATTGCATCAACATTCTCAGGCAATTGGAGCAGGCACCTGGAGTGGTAGATGCTGTTGCCAGCATCTACTGTCTTGCCAAAAAAACACTGTAGGCAGCATCAAGCTTTGTCTCATGGTTTCATTTGTAACAGGCACTAGACATTGATGATGCAGCAAAAATTGGCACTGGAGGTGGACAGACAGAAACAATAACGGATGAATTCTGCTCATCTCTTCTTGTTAAAACCAAACAAAGTTCCACATTGTCCTCGTCGACAGGCTTCCGTTCCGTTCCTGTCGATATCCGACGAATTTCTTTCTTGTTCCTGTACAAAACTAATCTATAAAGTGCAATACAAACTGGCAGTTTGGTGGCTCCATCACGCGACTAGGGAAATGGGCATCCGAGAGAGATTCGTCGAGGGTGAGAAAGAGATAAAGAGATTCGGGAAGGCTTCCCGCACGAGACGACTTAAGGATTAGCACCACTCATCACAATATCTGAGGATACGACGTTCTCACGGTTGGCACTTGCGGTAGAACTCACTCTGATCCGTGATGACCTTCAAGTAACCGTTCATACGGCGGTTCAGTTCTTCGAGGTCTCCCTCCATTATGCCAAGTTCCAACTCTGTTTTCTGATACTTGTCTTGCATCACTGTGGGAAACATCAATGTTTAGACACACAGATCCATCAGAAAGCAATGGAGTAAAACTGGCATCTGATATGTGAGAATTATGATTAACCCATACTTCATTTGACTGGCTGTGGTCAATTCAAATACAAAAGTCATTGACCCTTATGTTGGACATGAAGGAAAACTTTGTTGAAAAAACGTCATGCTTTCCTATTCCATAATTGGAGCTTTACCCAATGATAGACAGCAAAATATGATATTACATTGCAAATAATTTCTGCATGTTGCTTAGATAAGCTGACTAGACTGCTTTAAAAGCTGGAACAATTCTGTTTATAGAAAAGCTTGTCAGGTGAAGATGCTGCAGAATACCATATCCAAAATTATTTTGCATATCCAATAAGTGATGGATATGCAAAATGTGTAAAGAGCAAAAGGGCATGAAAAAAAGGGATTACTAGCATTTTCCCTGTGCATTTATATTCATTTTCGAGGGGTAAATCTGGTGTAAGAGGACATGACATAAATCTACTTCAACTGTGTCATCAATACCATACCAGGATCCCTCTTTCTCTCCCTCTCACGTCCAGAATATCAACCAATATGCTAAAGCCATTACACTTACAAGATTCTGTCATTTTCACCTTATTCAACTTCTTGAACTCCTTTGACCAACATATATGGAAATCAGAACTCACCATCAAGCTGGTCAACCGTATCCATGACATTTGCAAAGACGAGTCTCGCTCGTTCCTGGAGCCTCTCGGCCCGTTCGCGGATCTCGTCGGTGTCGGTAAGCTTCTTCTCCAGTTCCATCTCTGCCTTTTGATAGGTATCCTTCAGCCTGACCAGATCCCGCTCGGCTTCCTTGGCGAGACGATGTGCTTCCTGGGCGGCGTTCGTCGCCTCCCCGATCTCCCTCTCGTTCACCACAAACTTCTCGCCGATCAAGCGAAGCTGCATTTCCATATTGGTAACATCAGAGTGGCTCTCATTGGCCAGACGCTGGGCTGTGGCTGTTTCGCTGGAAATCTAGATTAAAGCAACATATATATATATTTCATCATATCTGACTTGTATTTTAACTCAAGTACAGGATAAATCAAACCTGGGTGAGATAATTCTGAGCAGATTGGACATCACCAGATGCTTGATTGATTGCAGTTCTTGCCTGTCCCTGGGCTAGTTCGGCCTCCTGCAATGCCTTCAAGACTTCCTGCGCAATCGTCAAGACCTCGACAGCTTGGGCCTTGGCTCTATCTGCACGTGCCTTGAGATCCTTTGCCAGAGCAAGATCACTGGCGGTTGCTTGGAGGATGGCATCAATGTTTGTCAGTGATGCCACTGTCTCATTGATCTTCATGGCCAGTTCTTTGATTTGCTCAGGGCGTAAGCTAATTGACATTGACAGCACCTGCAAGGCAGTGAGGAAGGAAAGAAAGAACTGTCTCACTTCCAGGAGATATTTTTTGCACAGGAATAAAGGAAACAATGTAGCAGACCTCATCGGCAAGAGTGCGAATCTCAGCCGGGCTAGCACCAGGAGTCGCGAGGAATGCCTCTATCTCCCGAATGAGCTCCTGCATGTCATTCTTGGTTCGATTGGACTCTCGGAATGCAGCCGAGGCAAGGTTGAAGGCATTTTGCGAGAGGGCTTGTGCTTGGTCTGCACTCACCTTCGCCTGGGACACCTATCGACAAGACAATTCCTCCATGAATTGTACGGATTACATTTTGTCTTGTCGTGAAAATACTTGGTATCAATAACATACCACTCGAAGTTGACTCTCAGCTTCAGTCTGCTTCTTCTTGAGGAGATCTTCAGCATCCCGAGCAAGGCTGAGGGCTGTGGCTGCCTTGTTCACGGAACCCTCCTTACAGGACAGCCCACCACATTTTCCACAGCCTGCTCCTCCGCATAGATCATCACAAGGATCCCCATATTTACCACACACCTATATATATGCAAGTGCTCCCCATGGACAAAAGTTATAGCAATGAAATGCAGCAAAAATAAAATATGGAGGTACCTGGCTGTTGAGGGTTGGAATCTGATCATCGATCTCCTCCAGCCGACGATTGATGGCATCTAAGGCTTGTTGATTCTGTTGCTGACTCACATTGAACTGAGTTCCTGCTGCACTCAGCTTATACTTGGTAGCTTGTCTGCGATCCTGTGAGTTGCGAATGAGCTGCTTCGTGTCCTCCACCTTCTTCTGAGATGCTCGACTTCGCGCCTGAGCATCCCTAGTAATGTTCAGTGCTCCTTCCACATTGGCTTCTTGAAGTAAGGTCGCTTCATTTTCCAATTTCTGAGCTTGTTTTTGCAGATCGGTTGCCTTGCTCCTGAGATTTGACAGTTCTAGGGTGGCCTTATATATGCGCTGTGTTGTATCATCAACTTCCAGCTCCACCTCATCCAGCTCTACCTTGGCTTCTGTTAGATTCTTTCTAAGGTCATCAATGAGAACTTTGAGTTTCTCCAGGTCAGCATTGGAGATGGTGGCATTTGCCAGAATCTCAGCAACTTCATCTAAAGTATCTTCCATGGCTTCAAATTCCTTGGTGTAAGCACCAGTTGCTCCTGCTTGCTTAATCTCACTTGCAGCCTGCACAACTGCTTCTGTCCTATCTGTAAATAGATTGAAATCCCAGCGTTTTCATGTGATTACAGCAAATGACAAGAAAGTTTAACACTAAAATCTGGAAATATGCAAACTGAAAAATAAAATAAAATAATATAAATCTTCAGAATCATGACATTACTTGTGAGCTCCATTAGGATGCGGTCCCAGTTGTCGAAGCATTCACCACACGGTCGGCAATTGAAAGCAGATCCGATGAAACCCCGAGCACAGCGATCACACTTATCTCCTCCAATGCCATCAACACACTCACATTTCCCAGTCCTGCGATCGCACTGCATCGTGGCTGAACCACGAGGATCACAGTTGCAAGCTGGAAAAGGTAAACAAACTTTAGTTTTGACTACTCAAAGTCTAAATTTTTCCAATCGACATGGGCAGGTCACTCACGGAAGCACTTCTGCTGCCGAGGATCTCCCCAGTAGTTGGCAAGACATTGATCACATCGACGCCCACCAAAGCCTTCTTTGCATCGGCACTGTCCATCATACTCATTGCACTGCTCTTCCCTCGAACCGTAAGGATCGCAATTGCATGGCTCACAGCCTTGACCTGAGGCAATCTTCCAGTGATTAGCAGCACAGCGGTCACACTCCTGCCCAATCACATTGGGGAAGCACGGGCATTGACCGGATCGACGATCGCACGGCCCACGGGATGTGTCCGTCCCCAAGATGTTACAAACACATTCTGGAAACAAAATTGCATGTAGTATAACTCTAATGACTGCACTGTACCATCACCTACTTAGTGTAAGGGATAGTATATTGATACCTGCACACTGTTGATGTATAGCATCTCCATAGTAGCCAGCTTTGCACATCTCACAATTGAATCCTTCTGTGCTGAACAGGCACTGCAGGCATTCTCCTGTCCGTGCATCACAGTTCCTAGGTCGAGAGAGGTCAATGTTGTTGTTACACTGACACGATTGACAACTGCCTCCGGGGACGTCCGGGTTGCCGAAGTAGTTGTCCGCGCACACGTCGCATCGGGGTCCTGTAAAATTCCAAACAAGATGCTATCAAAAATCTATCATGACTCTAAGGAAGCCCATGGAATATGTTCAATACCCACCGCCATATCCAACAGCACATTCACAGATGACATCATTAGAACGTGGATCCAAGTAACATTTATCAGCAAATGAGTGTCCAGAGTCCTTGGTTTCGGGACAAGGACAAGGACGGCATGGAATGTCCACGCCGAATCGAGGATCTCCGTACCATCCCTCAATACACCTGCAGGCAAGGCAAACAAAACCAATTATTCCTCATACATATATTTTCAAGTGATGCTTGCTCATGTTTTTTTGGATGACACTCCACACCTGTCACAGTTAGGTCCAACGGTGTAATCCTTGCAGTTAATGCAATAACCGGTGTTGGAATCGCAGGTGGCTGCATGCCCATGGCATTCACAACGTTGACAGTTGGGGAAATTCCAGAATCCCGTTTGGCACTGATCACACTGGCGGCCGTAGGTATTGATCCGACATTGGCATTGACCGGTTTTTGGGTCACAGAAGTTGTCCAGGGAACCAATCGCATTGCACTCACATGCTATTGAATATTAAGCCAAAGAAGTGTTAATTATAATACACATTCACTGTATCATGAATAGTTGACCAGTCTCATGACTTCTTGATCTCATTGATGCAAAAAGGGCTTAAAACTGCTGAGAAAATTCCAGGTAAACTCTCAATAGCAATCACCTTGTAACCACTGTCTGTGAGAAACATTATTTGGTATTAAAAAAAAAGAAGAAAAAAAAAGTTAAAACAGATGAAAGATAATGTTCAGACCTGGCATCTCTACAAAAGTCTCCCTACAGATCTGAAAAACATGGGCAACAAAAAATGACCAGCACAGGCATAGTCATGCAGTCAGCATTCTGTTTGATGGACCCCACTTTGCTCTTATTGCAATACCATTCTACTTCCACCTACTATGCCAATGTCAGCTTGAATGTGAGGCAAATGCATTGGGGTAAGGGAAAAACAAATGGTCAAAGGGGATCAAGAGTTTTTGGCAGATTCAAGAGACCAAGAGTCGAAGGGACGATGCCACTCACGAGAGCATCCTTCCGGACCAAAGCCGTACGTCCCGGGAGCACAACGATCACAGCGTCGTCCAGCAACATTTGGCTTGCATTGACATTGTCCACCGAGATCATTGCAAAGTGCACTCAAGGAGCCCGTTGGGTCACATGAACACTCTGAAACGTGAAAAAACTCAGCTTGTACAACCAGATGGAGGAATCCATTACATCAATATGGACTTTTTGTGTCACCTTCGCCTTGGGCCAGGGTGTAGAAGCCAACACTGTAGAGATACTTCTTGCAGATATCAGGGACAGGAGGTTTCGTGACGGTGTAATAAGCCTGACCGCATCGATAGCGTTCAAACTCCTGTCGTCGGTACTCGTTGTCCGAAGTGCCTTGGAAGAACGGGAGGCTCTCGATCTTAGGCACCAGTGCTATCTGAAACCATGACAGACATTTACATCAAACTCTGGGGTATTCAGAAGTGTAAAGCAAAGGATATTCTCATCTCTTTTCTGCTCACTGAATCGATGAGGATGGCAGCAGAGGGCATGGGCTGTTGCCGGTCGTACTGCTTGAAGTCGATGCGGATGGTGTAAGGCTTCCCCGCCTCGAGGCACAAGGGGGAACGTGCAATCTTGAATCGCTCGTCTATTCGAGGAAGCGAGATCGTGTATCCAATTTCTGGTAAGCTATGAGATATTATGAGCAAGGGAATATTAAAAAAAAAAAATCCAGCAAACCATCGGTGAGGGCGAGTCTCTTGAGGTCGTCGTCTGCCGTGATCCGACCGCACGAACCGTTGGGATCCACAGGACCCGGCCGAATGACCTTGATCTGGACATCATCCCAATCCCCTGCCATCTAAATGGTGGGCAGGTGAAAAAGGTTTGAGAATGCCTGAGAATGACCTAAGTACTCATGAGAACATTGTGGGACCTTCTACGAACCTGAGGTTCGTATCGAAGGACGAGGTCGTAGTCCAGACTGTTCTGAATGTCGTTAATGTCGAACTCCAGGTGGGATCCTTCGTAGACCCTCATGAATCCGGTGCCCGTCCAGGTGGTCTCTCGCCCATCATGGTATGGCTCACGGATCACCACTTGGCAATCCTGCATGTTTGTATGAGGTGTCACGATGCATGCAATACATAAGGGAAAAGAGACTGTGCCAAAGAATTTACTTGCAATTTCATGGTTTTGCATGCAAGAGAACAACTTAACATGTCTTTCCAAGATCTGCATGGCACTTGACAAGCAATTATTTTTAGAACTCATACCTCAAACAGACTATAAAAAAAGAGTATTCTTTTTATGGATAATCTTCTAGGATAATAAATTTTAAAAAACTTCTAGAAATATTAAGCAGTTCTTTTGCCATGAAAGTTAAGAGACCTTAAATTGCAATATAGCCCACTATTTTTTTATTTTCACTTCCTGGCTCTCGCCTCTAGTCTTCCAGGTATGAAAAAAAAAACAAACCATGGGGTCATATATGGATTGGTTGAAGAGGACCAATTGATTGCCTACTATCTGTCTGACTCCTGAGGAATAGAGAGGAATCCTGAACTGCAGTAGGTCCTTTCTAGCAAGTGGGCTTGTTTTCTGGCCCCAATGATCCGAGACTCAATGGACCATGTTACCTCCAGAATCAAGAGCAAGTGCAAAAGTAAAAGATGGTGGATATGGTCAAATTTAGAGGCCATAAAATTGTCATCGAGAATCTCCAAATATGTTCAGAACTTTCATTTCTTACTCTGAATGTGGGATCTATTTTATAAAGTAGGCAAAAAAGAAAAAGTAGCGTATCTAACATCCTGTGCACAGAATCTCCTGCTTTCCCTTTGATAAAAGTCTCAGATGAAAAATGAACACCTCATTCACCAAAATGACAATTGTGATGAGTGGGCAATCCTCATGCTTTGACTTGCACAAAATCACCAAAGGGGAATGTTAGGTGCATGCAAGACGCATGGAACTTCGAGGCAGCCACGTGCATGCAGCCAAATGACAGCCACGTGCATGCAGCCAAATGACAATCCACGTGCATGCAGCCAAATGACAGCCACGACAAACAGGGTGAAGACATAGGGATGCATATTTTCTCCTCACTCTCCACAGAAGGAGAATTACAATATTAAGTCTCATGATTCGTTTCAAGGAGTGAGTGTTCCAGAGAAAACCCAACGTTGAACAAATGTCTAGTAAGCAGGATAAAATGAGAAAAGATTAAAGGTTCCGACAATGGGAATCTAACACAGAGAGTACCGCCACCCTAGAAGTGTAGACAGATAAAAAATATATATGATGAACTTTACAAACCTCTTCACTGGTACAAATTCTCTGAAAAACAAAAGGGAAGAAACACCCATATTGTCATTGATCCTTCTCAAAAGTCACAAGAGGACACAAAGGAAATACTCTCGCTCCTGAGCCAACAAGAACCAGATCATACAATTCCCCACTTTTCAATTTTCTGCTCCATTTTCTTTCGATGCAAAAGGCGATAATACAAAAATGTATCCCGACTCAACAGCTCACATGCAATGAAAGCCAATCAAACACGAACGTCTCCCTACGAAAAAAAGGCTTTGCCGTACGTTCGAGTTCCACAATCGACTGGCGATCGTGGAATCTAATTCGTGTCCAAAAAAAAAAAAAGTTTCCATGATGTTCTCTGGACCATTTCCCTCAAGATGCAGATGACCGGGAAAAAAAATCCCACAGACTCACCTCGGATCCACGAGCTAATTCTGCCTCGTACACATGATGATCCAGAACGCCGGCAAAGTACCCTTGCTCTGGGCGATCGCACCGTTGCCCCGTCACGTGCCGCCGGCATCTGATCGAAAGAGACGAGACTTAATATCCCCCCAAAAAAATTTTCCTCTCGAAATCGAAACCCTAACAAGCTCGAAACCCACCGACACTGTCCGGTGATGACGTCACAATTGTTATCGTACGAACCGCCGGGGTCGCAGTTGCAGGGCTTGCACCCGTTCGGATCATCCTGCGACAGTCCCCAGTGCTGGGGTGCACACTGATTGCAGTCCCTCCCCGTCACGAATCGCTTGCATTCGCACTCACCTGAATACGGATTGCAGCCTTGTGCCCCCGTCGTTCCGATCGGATTGCACGTGCAAGCTGAGAGAAAAGCGTGAACAAATATCCACAATGAGGACATTTCAACAATACCATGGGAGGAAAAAAAAAAAACGAAAAACTTCCGACCGATTAACCTTTTTGATCTTACCAGAATCTACCTGGAACATACCAAGCAAAAAAGGGAGAACAAGACGAGGTTACTCACGCTGACAGCCCAGATGATTCGCCTCGGTGAAATTGTAGAAGTTCCGCTTGCACCGATCGCACTGCCTCCCCTCGACGTTCTGCTTGCAGTGACAGCGCCCAGCCACGAACCCGTTCAGCGGGTCGTTCCTGGGATCGCAGATGGCCCCGTCGAGCGACCCCCTCGCGTCGCAATCGCACGCTGCAAGAGAAAGCATCCACCGTGTCCATCACCCGCCACCAGCGGCCGGAGGGCGAGAATAGGACGGAAAATAGGAGGGCGGAAAATAGGAGGGCGGAAAATAGGCGGACGGAAAATAGGAGGACGGAAAATAGGAGGGCGAAAAATAGGAGGGCGTACGGAGGCAGACGCTGGGATCCGTGATGTCCCTCCCGGGATCCTGGTAGTAGAAGGGCTTGCACTGCTCGCAGTTCCGGCCCATCGTGTTGTGCTGGCATTCGTCGCAGACGCCGCCGCTCACTCGTCCCGTCGATTCGTACACGTTCTTGTCGAAGTGGCACTTGGTCGCGTGGTTGTTGCAGTTGCATCCTTCGAACGAAGATGCATCGTGAGCGAGATGATCGACGATCGGGTTCGACAGAACAACTTTCACATACGTTTGCAGGCGTTGCTCTGTCTCCCTATGGCAGGTTTCCACGGAAGATCGTTGTAGAAATCTTCACACTCCTTGCAGTGCGGCCCCTTGGTGTTGTGCGTGCATTCACAGCGGCCGTGGACCATCTGGGCACTAAAACGAATCGGCAATGACGCAAACCGCCCCCCCCTAAAAAAAAAAAAAAAATCTCCCAAACACCAACTAAACCAACTCACGCATCCTTGATGCTGCTGTCAAACGGAATGCACCTAGATGCATGCCCGTAGCACGAACACGTCCCTCTCACGATCATCTTGTAGATCGCATAATAATATTTCTCCTGATTCGATAAAAAAAGAGGGAATCCATGAGACAACCGGTCCTCCGGAGCCACTCCCAGTCGGACAGTGGCTAAGCTCACCAGAATTTCATCTCTTTGATCCAGGAGATCATCCCCAAGAGTATGCAGCTTCGTGAAATTCACTCTGAGGTTGGTGACTTTCAGCAGATTCAACACCTCCTCTGCATACGGATCGTCGATGTGGATGTGCGGCGGAAGCACCCGGAATATCACCTAAATTTAGCCAGGCGTTGAGCCACGACAGCGCAGCAGGTCGCAAACGCGACAGTCGCATTTGCAACCTGGAAAGTAAAACACGGAATCGGAGACGATAAAGTTGCATGTCGCCGCTGACCTCTCCTTCGGTCGACGGCGCGACGTTGGAATAGCGGGACTCGCAGACGATCTCCAGCATGTTCCTCGGGGGTCCGTGGGAGATCCCCGGGAAGACCTCGTCGCAGTTGTCCGCGAAGTACCTGTAGACCTGCAGGCGGAAACGCCAGGGTCAGAGCCGAGCGGAAACGCGGGCGGAGAGACGGCGGGAAAACGCACCTGCCACGTCTTCCCGAAGTCGAAGGACCTCTCGATGAGCATGGCCGCGGGGCGGAAGGTCTTGAACTTGATGATCAGGTGGGTGATGTGGAACTCCGCTTCCAGGTCCAGCTGGACGCTCACCTTCTCCACGCCGTTCTCGGACTGCCACCAGGACCGACGCCTCGTGCTGGTTTCAAAATACGCATCGCATTTACTTATTTCGTTTTATTCGGTTCCGGCCAGATATGCACGTAAAACAGCCGTCGAAAAGTACGAAGGCGAGACTCGTGGAGGGAGAAGGCCACGGGGAGTACGAGAACCTGCTCAGATGGTATCTCCTCGAGAACGACGCAGTGAATACAGTACCTTCGATCGTATCTTCCTCAAATGCTTGCATCCGAAAAAGCCCATGTAAGTACAAACAGGACGAGGCAAAAATGCGTGGACCTGAGGCCAAAATGATCCCATCACCGATCCGTCCACAGCCGCACGTTTCGCCGCGCTCCGCGAGCGTTTCGCTTCCGCGACGCGCCTCACCGCCCACAACTTCAATACTTCCTGCTCTAAAAATGAACTTCCCTCCCCGTTTACCAATTTTTTCCCCGATCCGAATCTGATTAGGCGAAGGTGTTCAGATGATGTTCAAGTCTTCGTGCGGGTTTATACATTATTAATATTTACCGTTACCGTCATTTCATCATCCGGCAAGTCGGAATCAAAAACTGTCAGCCTCTCCAATCGATCAACGCTTCCGTTATCATTTTCAATACATTTCATTCCTGATGGAATAATTTTTTCGTTCAATACATTAAGGGATTCCCTCATGTTTCATGACGTGTCAAGTCGTTCAAGAGATATACAATTTTCACTTAGTGTTCAGTTCATTCGGCGTTAAACTAAAGCCAGCACAGAATCACGAGATGTGAGTTTTATTTTACCCTTACCTGTTGCAACTGAGGCGCAGGCAAGCACATGGCCAGAATCTCATGAATATTTTTTTATTTTTTATTTTTTTATTTCTAACCTTGAAGAAAGCTCGAGTACCTGCTGTCCCGGTCAATCTGGCCACAGCAACTTAAATTAGGGCACAGCTTTGTGTTGAGCCATGGGGATCTTCCCAGAAAAAAAAATTAAATTAAAATTAAAAAACAAAAAACAAAACTGTATTTCCTCACGGCTGACCACGTGGTCCACGCGCTTTCTTGTATCGCATTCTGTGTCGCTCTCTTCGACTCGAATTGCGATTGAGTCGGTGTAACTATTTTTGATGGGGGGGAGGGAGTTGATAAGCATTTTGCTTTCTCTTTATCATTGGCATGATGTCAGTGCGAAAAAAGGAGACATCTGACAAAACAGACAAGAGAGTCGCCACTCGAGCAGGTTGTTGAACCGAAACGAGATAAACGGCATTAAAGTCCAATTACTTCCCACTCGAACATTCCGCATTCCAACAAACTCCAGATAGTCGGGGAATTCCCCTCGCGCTTCGGCCTGAAGAACTCCACATAAAAAGCAAAGCCGACGCCGAAGTCCATCGAGGGGAAAATTCCAGGAAAAACCGAAGGATGCCAGCGGTTCCACGGCCGAGGAAGGAGGCAGGAGGAACAGGTCTCTCGTGCAGCCTATGCCCTACCTGACAACCATCATCAATCTTCTCGTCCTTTTGTCTTCCTTTCCTCGTCCCATATGCACACACATCCTCTCTTTCCTTTCCCTCATTCGATTCACATCGAGGCCCGACCAGAAACAGTACGCCGTCACGCTCGCATCCATCAGGTTGCGTTACGATCTTCTTACTGACAGGGGGGCCAAGGGGGGCCAAGGGGGGGGCCCAAAAAATATACATTTAGCTCCCCCCCCCCCCTCCTGCCTCTCCATCAGAATCTCTCAGGGACAATATGGCTTGGAAGGCGGGAATTCTCCCGAGTGTCTGTGACGCCAGCGGGCTTCCGAAAAAAAAAAGAGGGGTGTTCGAATTCTGTTCCCTCTTTTCCAAAAGCTATCACTGCAAATTTTTAACACCCTTGATTTACATAATAAACAGAATATTTATGCGGGCTTCATTCGAGCGTGCCGAAAAGATTATATTATGACCCCTACCCCCAGCAGTGTAACATGCATAAAAGGAGGGGGGGGGGGGGGGGTATTGCACGATAAACAATTTAATGCAGGCTTCAAAAGGCTATTCTTTCTGTAGAGCTCAGGGAATACATTGACGGGAATTAGTTTCTTTATTCGCGAATATCGAATAATATCACCAATACCGCCTGCATCCAAAACTAATGAGGCTTTAAATATTATCGCAACATTCGCAGTCTCCTCCTCCACAATCCATCCTACAACAAACGAAAACCCAACCCCCCCTCCCAAAAAAAAACCCACCAAAATACACCCACCCCGTCGCAGCCTGGGAAAACCTGGAAAATCCATGACCCATCCGCAACGACAACCCCCCCACCCCCCCACCCCCACCCCATCGTCCTCCAAAGAAACGAGGTGACCCGAGAGAACCTCCTCCTCCGCCCATAGCACGCCAGGCAAACGAGCCCAGCCTCTCCGGAATGTTTATCGCACGCCGAGAGGGGAGGGAGAGGAGATGGAGATCGAGGGCAGTGAGTGAGTGAGTAAACACAGATCGGCGGAGAAATCCCAGCTCTCTCAGCCTCTCTCTCTCTCTCTCGTCGGGAACTTCGATAGAGGCCTGCGCCTTTCTCAAATAGTGTCGGTAAAGTATTCAAATACTTTCGATTTAAACACTCAAATTACTCCCAACTGCACATTTCCGTCGAAGAAACCATCTTCCTCTGAAGCATTTAAATGCTCTCCTCCGAAGAGACCATCCTGAAAATTTCTCAGGCCTCGTCCCCGAGAAAAAAACGGTGTGGATTTTCGAAACCGCCTCAACGAGTATAAGTGCTGCAAGTAAACCGAAAGCTGGAGAAAATTGTGGAGTGTTTGACCAGCACTGCCACCGGCAATAAATACTTTAAGGCCTCAAATGCATTCAAACGGAATCACCCAAGAAGTACCTTCTCGAATGGTACTTAAAGGCAGAGGTGGAAAAAGTCTTGTAACCAGGGTTACTGGGAAGCAGAAGAATATTTTTCCACCTTTGCTCGACAGTACCAGTACTGAGTACTTCGTGCCAAACGGCCAAAAAAAACAAACCGAGGAATCCCCCAGCATCACGCTCCAGGCATACTAATTAGCCATACGGCTAATTAGCGCCGTAAAAGCGAAAAAGAAGCGCGACACCTGTTCCAGTCCCGATAAAGATCTCAACACCCTCTCGCGTCATCGCGTGCCGACTGAATTACGAGATAAAAAAAAAGAGGATTTACTCGGGCTTGAAGAGATGGACGAGGTTGTCGACGGTGTGGCTGAGGGCGGGGTTGTCGGCGAAGGGCGGCGAGGAATCGCACCAGAAGCATTTCTTCGCTTCTTCCAGGTGAGACACGATGCAGTACCTCTCCTTCAACACGAAATAAATAAATAAATATTTACAATTTTTTTTTTCAATGAAATTATAGAAAATACTGCATTTGGATTTAAGTAACTCGTTTCAGGGCAACAACGTTAGGAATTTTTGTTAGAACTGTGTCCAATGCGAGATCCATTTCGAAGGGAATGGAAATGATTCCTGGTGTGCCGGTGGGCTACAATGCAGTCACAACACGGCCGCGCAAAGGCTTTCCATGATGAATAGGGGAAAGTCGCCCCTGGAGGGTATGTCGTGTGAATGCATTGCATCATATTCCCCCTCTCTCTCTCTCTTCACGCACGCACACACGCGCTCATCGTACTCCAGGCACACGTGTTGCCTATGCGATGATGTGTCTTGAGATGCTCCAAGGGAACCCCGACCTACTTCCCACAGCTTCGAACGGGATGGTGTAACGATACCAACTCGATTCCAAAAATCCGATAATGCACTCCACCAATTATATATTAATAATTCGCGGTACTCTGCCAATCATATCTGAACAGTTCGCACGAGGCACAAGTGCCGACGTACCCTTTTGCGAAGGCCGCACGTGGAAGTGGCTGAAAGGCGATCTTCCCGTCCGATGAGGAGGTTCCCTTGCTCCGGGTAGCAGGAGCTCTGGTCGCAGCGGGATGGTCTCTGAGCGACGCCTCCTGGAGGACATCAACATCCAGAGCATCACAAGCTGGACAAATCGAATACGCCCCGTTCTCGCCTCGACTGAGATGAGCACGAGGACGGGTCGAATATGCTTCCAGTTCCGGCTTCCGGTCGCATGGTCACTCTACGAGACTTCAAGTTTTTCCTTGTTTTACGTCGGTTAAGTATAGATTTCGCATCTCCGTAGTAGAATCGAACAGAGTCTCTTGTTCTACGAGTGACCATGCAAATGGAATTCGGCGTTTAGGGCTGTTCAAAGCGAAGTACGAAAGAGTTATTTGCTTCAGACATATCCATCAGCCCAGATGAGTACCTTGTCTGTAGGGGGAGTCAGGTATTATTCGGGTGTTATTATTATGCTTAGGCCTATGTACAATGAGGGTGTTAGGCCTGAGCCTGGAGTTATACCTATGGAATTATTCACACCACTGAACCGAAGTTATCGGGTAATGAGCCACCTTCTCCCGGGGATTAGGCATGAGGATGAGTCGGCACTCGTTCCGAATTTCAGCTGATTCCCATCACCTCGGCAAGGGATTGATTATTCACCAGGTAGAAGGCACGGTTATTTCTGTCTACCGCATCGACGGTCACCTTGTCGCGGGGATTCGTAGGCAACCCAGGCGAGCGGATGAATATTGTCGAATCCTTCCTGGAACGTGATGACTCCGATCCCCGGCTCGAACTCCGTCCGGATGTCCCCTTCCTGGATCTTCCGGTTGTACTCGAAATCCGTGATCGTGGTCCCGTTCCGGATCCCGGAACCGCCCCCCCAACCCCCGGCGCCCCAAGTCCCGGAACCGACCCCCCAAGTCCCGTTCCCGTACCGGAAACCGGAACCTGCCCCCCCGACCGGCACCAGGTCGTACCGCCCCGTCTGAGGGTTGTAGACGTAACGGCGCTCCGAGGATTCCGAGTGCGTCGAGGATTCTCGTTGGCCGGTTCGACTGTCGTATCGGCTCTCGTAACGGGTCTCGAAGGTCTTGGAGTATTTTTCACCTTGGGTTTGCGTCTTGCCCGCATCCTCCCAGTCGAACTTCTTAAACGGGTTCGACGGGTCCGACCCCGAATAACTGTAGGTGCGGTTATAGGTCGCGGAATAATTCCCCTGAGGCCCTTGGGGTTTCCCGAATTCCCCGACGTAAGTCCTCGACGAGCTGATCCGCTTCCCATCCTCCAGATCCTGGTTTTCGTCCACGGACTGAACGAGCGTTCCATCCCGATCCGGTCGAAGCTCGTCCAGCCCCAGCCACCCCTGCCCGGCGATCGTCGACGACTGCGACGACGCCGACGAGTACTTCCTCCGCGACACGGACCTGTCGCTGCTGTTATCCCCCGGGAACTCCGGCCAGGCCGGGAACGGGGTCGTCGTGGTCGACACCCGCTGTCGCTGTCGCTGCCGGTTCCGCTGCCTCCAGGCCCTGCGTCCCTCCTCGCGTCTCACACTGCTCTCTCCTTCTGTCCCTCGCCCCATCACAACATCAAGCAATCCGTCAAGTCTCACTCGTATGCAACAAATTTTTTCGTCGAAGCGGGTGCGAAGAGTATGCGCACTGCATACTGCGCCCAGGAAGACCCATCACCGCCAGAAGCGAATTAAAAGCAATTCCAAAGTCGTATCGATTCGGCATCGTCGTCGAAAATGCGTTCCGTAAAGTGGGGATACCGTGATTCTAGCTAGATGAGGGATTAACTGCTAATTCTACTTCTAGACTCTCTAAGTAAAATGTGTCAAGTAACCACACGAAGGTCAAACTTTGAACCCATTTATTGCGTCCACCGCTCTCAGTTTCAAGGACTTAGGACTTTCTGCACGACTTCAAGTCTTGTTTGTAGTTAATATAATACCATAAGGTTAAAAATGCAATGGAGGATGCAACACCTCTCAGCCATCTGTTGGCTTGTTGACACTCCAGATCTGCGGACATGAACTTCTCCATTCCCGACAAACAATATCTCCCCTAGTGTGTGTGAAAGCGCAATGTGTGCAAGATGGGCGTGGTCCTGCATTCTCAAATGCTTTCTCGTTTCCCTAATGTTTAGAGAATGCCATTGGCATGAGCAATACAGATAAAACTAAAAAGCTATTGAATTGACGTCGGGAAGTCGGGATCCCCTTTGTAGCAAAAAATTTGTAATGGTACAGAGGTTCCCACAGATGGAATAGGTCATCTGCAGCAGATACAACATATTCGGCCAGATAAAATCGCAGAAACCGCAACAAGCAAACCCATCACCGAAATCGCCTAAAAACCCATTCTAGGCAACCCCCTTCACCCGACGAATACCGTGAACCCTACCTTCCACGTCGGCCATCCGCGAACCCCGCCGTTCCGCGTCTGTCTCGGTTCTGTCCGGTGTCCGTCCCACGCTCCCTGGAAACACATCTGGCCCGTTCAAGGAATTCCATCGCCGGGAGAAAGGGAAAGGGACATTTTTCCCCTCATGGGGTTCGCGGGCAAACAAAAAGGACGACCGTCGCGGGGTCAACACGCGAAGAATAATTAATTGGGTCGATAGAAAGGACAATAGCAGGGTTCCTCGAGGTATTCAAAACTTCTTCCCTTTCAAATAAGCCACATGATTCTTTTCTTTTTCTTTGAAAGATGGAAAAATATAAATTTCTATTAAAAAATAATTACATATTCAGTGTGAATGGATGAGTGGACCGGACACCACGGGAGCTGCGAAATCCGTCTCCACGAAGGAAAGCGAGGAAGATAAGGGAAGTGGAGGCCCTCGAAGCCGTTTCCGGCCGAGCGTGGCTCTCCCCGATAAAGGCGCTTTCGAGTCTCACGCTCTTTTATCTTTCAACACCTTCCGCCTGGGTTTCGCGTGGGAAGGGGGGGGGGGGCTCCGCTGCTCTTTCATCGAATCGAGGAGGAAAGGCGCTGGCAGCGAGTTTCTTTTTCGCGCCTTTCTGGCTTATTTTACTTCAAAGGTATCACAAAAACACTTGGGCACCGAAAAGTACCAAAAGAAACTAAAAAAAAAACACCATACGGCACCAAAAGGCACCATACGGTATCATGAGGTACCATACGGCGCCATAAGGCACCAAAAGGTACCAAGAATGACTAAGAGGGACTAAAACGAATGGTTTCGTCTTTCTTACCTGGGATGAGAGCGATTAGGACTAGAAGGACGGCACTTTGGCACACGAGGAGCTTCATGGCTCAAGATTAATGGCACAGATTTCGCGCACGACACGCACTCGCACTTATTCACGACTAGTTTTCACTCCTTTCCCAAGTTTCATTTCACAGGCCTTGTCTCCGGTTTCATCTTCACCTGGAACGGGGGAATCCTGCTATCAATTACGGCAATAATTAAAATTATGGTTCGATAATTGCTACTTTTGTAATTGATAGTTTGGTAACAAGAGTACAGAATGTACAAAATAATAATAATAATAATAATAATAATATAGAATAAGAAACACGTGATTTGCCCTGCACTAGACCCGTGAATGCGATTATTAAAATCGTCACGGACTGCGAAAGTGCCTTCCTCTGTCGCCTCGTCACCATGGAGGCAAGGTGGATTAGCTTTATCTTTATCTTGTCTTTCCGTACGGGAATCCTGAGTTATGGCCGAATTAAAACGATTTGCATCGTCTCTCGTTTTCTCCCGGCTGGTTTTTAATATCATATTTTCTTAATTTGGGAACGGCACGAACCGTACCTGATCGCCGAAGCTTCGAGCCATCCAAAATTGCTTATGACGGAGTAATAATTTTTAAAATTAAGTCAGGATAACGATTGCTTTCTATCCAACAACTTTTCATTAAAAAAAAAGGGCAAAATCGTCAAAAAGAATTCCAATCGACAAATGTCAAATCTGAATGGATCCTATGAGTGCACAGGCTTCGCGTCGCCTCTCGCGTAAAAATCCCCGGGAAAACGAAGCCGAGCTAAAAATATATCATAAAAAAGAAAAATATATATATATTTATAAATTTACACGAGCGATCGTGATGAAAGGAAGCTCGGGACCCCAATCATCGAATGAAAACAAACGGCGGGGGTCAAAAAGCGAAGGCCACGCCGATATATCACAAGTGGACGAGGCTTCGTGAGCTACGTGGGCTTCGTGACTCACGCTTCCAGCTTCCGAGAGGGACCGGGGATGGTCACAGAAATTAATTATTAAAAAAAAAAGGTCAAAGAAGTTGTCATCGCTCGATCAACCGCCAAATCGGCCCAGTTGGATCGCGAAGCTTTCACTTCGCCTTATCAGATTATTCTGAAGGAGACGAACACTTCCGGAAGCCTTTCCGGGAAGGAATATTTTCCACTCGCCGGAGGAAAGAAGAAACGAGACCGGAACGTAAGAGTCTTCCGCGATTTTTTTAAGTATCGACCCCTCGGCGATCGACGACGGCGTCTTCGGTCTCGTTCGATCTCGAGAGACGATCCAACGTTGCGGACCGATTTCTCGCATTTCCCCGACGAAAAAGACGCGCGAAGGGCAGAGGGCCATTGCTTAATGGCCCTCTTTCGCGAGGGAACGGGAACTGCCAGCGAGACCAGACCCCACGCGGCCGCATCACCGTGTTGTTTCAGCTGCTTCAACCGAGAGCGAATATATATTCCCTTCATTCATACACATATAGTCGAAAAGGCGCGTTTATACACGTATTACCCTACAAAAACCCAAGCCGCTCACCCGACTCAAACGAAACCCCCCCCCCCTCCCCCTCCCCCCCCATCGAGACACCGCCCCATCACCTCGCCGCGCACCTTAACGGTCCCCTCCCCCACCGAGACGAAGCGATTCCGACGAACGCCAGGGGAATGTCGGGCGTCGACGGAGGTTCTCGGGATGGATGCTCCGCTGCGACGACGAAGAGACACTCGACGCTTGGAGGCCCCCCGAGCCCCGAGGCCCCCCCCCCCCCCGAGCCTTCCCGGGAACGGAGGGAGCCTTTTTAAGGACGGCGAGAGTGGTTCGCGATCGCTCGGTCTCGCAGTTTTATCGGACTGAATTTTTCGTTCGCAAGGCCAAGAATTTGACGCGGGGGAAACGTTCACGTTCCGCGTTATCGTTCGTGCGGCCAGCTCGCCCGGTCTCGCTCGGTGCGGGAACAAAGAGGCAATGAGGGGCAAAGAGGCACGGGGCCCCGCGCTCTATCTGACTGGGGGCTTGGGGGCAGCAGGAACCGAGCACGATTAGCGATTCAGAGATGAAATCTCACCCGAGGAAGAGTTCCCAGCTCTAGTTATCGGAAATTAATTAAAACTTATTTAGCCGAGTTTAAAGGCACGCATCCCGAAGGCCCGACGCCCCACTCGCTCCACTCGCCCCACCGACTCCACTCGCTCCACCTCGAGGGTGGAGGCGGGCCTCGTTCGCTTCCGGTCGCGGATCGAGACCGACTTCTTCCGTCGACGATGGTGCGAATCGGATCCACGTGTGGCTCGGAATTCTCGGTCGTCGGCCCCTTCGGCCCTTTCGGCCCCCTCGGTTCCCCGTCCGATCCGAGGCGAGGGGCAGACTGGGACGATGCGGAATCGCGTTACGCAAGCCGGGACGAAAACAATGGCCCTCTTTCCTTCGATGGCGAAATAGAAGGCCTACGAATGGAAAGCCTGGGAGTAGAAGGCCTAGGAATGCCTAAAAACGGGATCGACTCGCTTCGAGACGAAAAGGGAAGCGGGGGCGTCTCGAGACATTCGGCTGTCGGCTGTCGGCTGTCGTCTGAGGGCCGGAAGGGAACCCAAGCCGAGGGGGGGAAAGAGAGAAACGCGTCTGTATATAGGGCGATGCCTCAAGGCCAGAAATCCCCTTCACGGCCCCTCACGGTCCCTCTTGGCCCCTTTTCGCACCCACGCCTCCTTCGCTCGCGACACGCACTCGCGATTTTTTCCGCCGAAAGCGGATCGTACCGCGAAATCCCGCGACGGTCGCGCGTCTCGCTCCCCCGCAGACGCCAAACCGCCCCGCCATGTGTTCCGAACTCGACCGCGCCGCGCCAAACACTGACCTGGATCTCGCCGTCGCCTCGGGAAAAAACCGTCCTCGAAAGGAAAAAAAAAAAAAAACGGAATCACAGCTCGGCTAGGGGAAATCCACGCTGCACCACCCGGAAGGGAGCATTCAGCCTCCCACACTCAGAGCGAACTCAGACTCTCGGATGCTCGACGGCCTGCCTCGAATTTCCCCCCCTTCGGCACGGTTGCCGGATCCGTCATCCTCTCACCGTCCTCTCGTCCGTCTTCGTCGCGCCGCCACTTTCCTGCCGTTTCGGCACGAGATCGCATCAGCTGCGATGAAACTCCCAAAACGGGTTTTGCAAGAGGCGCATGCAAATGAAGGGTAATCGTATTTTTACATTCGACGAGCGGGCGATTCGGCATCGTTGGTCCCGCCCGATCCGTGAGACGCGCTTGACATCTATAGGGAGTATCAGAAAGCTTTCACTTATAAATTTTCGGATAGATGTCAGGAGTGTCCACATGGGGCCGCCAGTCCGCTGGCTCTCTCGACCGGCAAAGAAAGCAGGCAAATTCGAAAAGAAAGCTTCATTCTTTATGTCCACGGGAAAATATAATACAAAAGCGGAAGCACCACCAAGGGGAGTAGCTGTTGCAAAAGCTTTGCAATTCCGTCAGCCGTGTTATGTATCACAAAAAAATCTCCATCTCTTTCCCCATAAAATAATTCGGTAAGTTCTAACACGGTTCTTTAGGCGAGGAGGAAATCCGAACGACGACCCGCGGTTCCAATATGGAATGGGGACGAGCCGATGCGAGATTCCAGCGAGATGAAACTTCGTCCACGCGAAGGGGTCGAGGAACGGCGCGGAACTCGTCGAGGCTCTTCGGATCGCGAGAAGGACGGAGCCCGTCGTCGGTATTGCACGGGGCCGATTCGCGCTGCGTTTCCCCTCGCTCAGATCATGTGGATCTGGGGGATGGGACTCTTGGTGGAGTCCCGGGCGTCCGGGATGGGCGGGAGAGGCCTCACGTTGGTGTAGACCACTTTTTCCTCGAGCGACTGCTGGCGATCGGTTTCGCGGGTCGGGACGTCGATCTCGGCGTAGATGACGCCCTCTTCCGGCTTCTGGCGGGCTTCGTCCAGGGTCTCGTAGTCCGGGTTGGGACGGGGGTGAGCGGGGATCGTGTCGTAGTGGGGGGGACTAGAGGATTTCGGCGGGTCGTTCGGCGCTTCCGATCCCTTCGTCTTGGTCTTCTTCGCCTTGTTCACCTTGGCGTAGAGGGCGAGGATGTCCGCGGGGACGTTGGTCGACACCTTCAGGACGTCGGGCATCGCGGTGCCCTTGGGGGCGTGGAGGGGCTTCAGGACCGGAAGGTTCTCGTATCGATGCTCCCGGTCCGACTGTCCCTTCCCCGGGACGTCGTAGACGAGCGAGGGGTTGTCGTAGAAGGAGGACGAACCGTCCGAGATGGAAGAGTCCATCGGGTGGTAGATGGAGATCGGCTCCAGGGAGTCGTAGTCGCCCGTCGCTGGGGTCTGGCCCGTGCCGGCGGTCGAGGAGAGGCGGCTGCGGGTCGACGGGGTGTAGACCTCGTCGTAGAGGTGGTCGCGGGCCTCGATGCAGGGGCAGCGCGGGGTGGAGCGCGGCTTCAGCACGCTTTCCTTCTCGTCGCCTCGAGAACGCCTGCAAAACGAGGGGAACTTTGTATGTCGTATGCGGAGAACGATCCACCCCGACTCATTTTTAGACTGAAATTGCGAAAACGAGACTTTTTTTTCCGAACGTACGTGGGATTTTGAAAATCTCATTCCCCCGAAGGAATTATGGAAACCTAACCCACGTGCCTCGATCATCTCGAAAAACAATTCGTCATCGGTCGCCGCATTCCTGGGCTCATCCCAGAAACCACTCCCCCCACGCTGGAAACGGAGCCAAGACGTCACCTGCGCTTGAGAAAGAGATATCCCATGATGGCCAGAACGAGACACAGCACGACGGTCATGGCGATGATCCCCATGATGACCTCCACCTTCGACGCCTCCTTCAGTCTCCCCGTCACTTCCCCCTCTCCTTCCGCCGCCTCCCCCTCCACCTCCCCTTCCCCTTCCTCCACCTCCACCGTCTTCCCCACCTCGTGGTCGTCGATCGTGCCCCGCACCTCCGTCTCCAGACTCCGTCCTCGGTCCTCCCGCGTCTCGCTCGTGCAGTCCACCACGACCGACTCCCACTCTCCCGAGTCGATGCATCTGGTCTTCACCTCCCTTCCGCCTTCAACGATCACGCGTCGGTCAGTCGAGTACTCGAGAAATCAATGCACTAGGACGAAGAGGCCGAAGTGGGAGACGCACCATCCGGCAGGATGAATCCAGGATCGCATCGATAAACGGCAACGGCTTCCCATTCGGTAGATCCGTCGGGAAGGATCAATCTCGCATTCGCGAATGACGGTGGAGCCGGACACTGCACCTCTGCAACAATCAACAACACACGATACGTGGAAAAAATGTACCATGCACTTAAAAAGAGACATAACTTATATCAAAATTAAATATTGGGAAGCGAATGAAACACGCACTCTTGCACTGCGGCACAGACCCGGACCAGACCCCAAGAGGACCGCAGGTCATCGTGGCATTCCCCCAGAGAAGAAACCCAGGGTTACACTTGTAGATGGCCCGAAGCCCGAACACGTATCTGCCTTTGAAGCCGGGGACGAGCAAGAACCCATTCTCGATCTGCAACGGCGCCTCGCACTCTTGCTCTGCAAAGTAGAAACCGTATCGAATCATATTCCAGTCCGATGAAATTCAATCTCTCTCCGTCACACGGTCTGAGTGACATGAATCTTTTTTTCGTTTCTCGCATTTTCCGCTCCACGTCTTCCTTCCCGCTTTCTCCATGAATTCAATTCCGTTCCGCATGCCCAATGACCTATAGGAGGCCTTGTCAACCGATCGAAATGCTTCAACGGTTAATTCGCAAGAGAGCGAAAGGTGAATCGCATTAAAGATTCCACAGCCGGATGCCTTTCTTCCCCCCCCCCCCACCACGCCCCACCACGCCCCACCGACCCCCTTCAATAAGCGATTTGACAGACCGAGACACGTCGGAGGCGAGGATGACCACTGCCCGTCAGCCAGGCAGTTCCGCACCGTCTCCCCCCTCAAGGTGAAGCCGGGGAGGCAGGAGTAATGGGCCTGGTTCTCCGTCCGGCTCACGCTGCTGTAGATCGGCTGCTCGGGGTCTCCACATGGCACCCGGTCTGTGGGTTCAACAAAGACTCGTTTCTTCTTTCGAATTCTACCTTTCGACAGCGATATGCATGAGATTAAAAGAAAGTAGGGCATTAATTTTTTTTTAAGCGTCCACTTAAAAAAAAATTAACGCCCTACTACAGGAATGATGAAATTTCAATTGAATGTAATTTTTTTGCCATTTTAATATTGCAAGTAAATCAGGGTGGGCAAAACTATGGCTCTTCGATAATTTATTCGCGACATGAGAGACCCGGAATCCATTGAAGAGTAACGCATTTGAATATTCAGACTCATTGGCAAAGTCAGCCACAAAAAATCTCCAACGTCACCTCCATCGACTAGGACAATCGTTGCCTAGCGCGACCGCCATTGGTCAATGAAGTCTAAAAACCACTGGAAATAGCATCAAGTGTTTCCTGAAAGTGCTCCCCAAACCAAGCTGCCAAACCAAAAAGGCCGGTTCAACGGTGGCATTTCAGGCTCTATCACGTCAGGTATGTCCGGAGACAATACGGCGACATTCGTGTGAGATTTGTATGCGGCGCCATCTTGTGGGAAGACTGATGAACCCAGGGGAGAGACCATGCCCATGTATGCACACTCGTGTTTATGCAGTTTGGAGAGCACTTCAGGTAAAGATTTCCGAAAGTTCCGAAATCGGTGGTATCGCAAACGAAGAAACAGAAAATAAAATGCTATCTCCCAGACATTTTTGGACAGGGAAATCGACCGGTGACAGCCAGTGTTCGAAACGGCAGAGGTGATCGTCACTGACTATTCCAAAGAGTCGAGGCACCGCACTCCTCCGGATTCTAGCTCTCTCTTTTCCGCCCACCCTGCCACATTGCTACGCATGCTTCTGTGACGATTCCGAAATAAAAAGTCACTGCCATTCCTTCCCCGGACCGCCACATACCTCGAGTGGCGAAGACCTGGACCTCGCAGAGCCCCAGGTGCTCCTGCGTCTGCCGGTCGTCCCTGATGTAGACGAACTGCCCCGGCGTCCCCAGCCCCCCGTTGCATCTGAACATCGCCTTGTCCGAGAGAAACGTCCCCGAGAACCTGGCGCACTCCTGGTACAGCGCCCGCTTCTCCTCCCGCACGTCGATCACGAACACCGTGAACGCCTGGTAAGTCCCTGCGTCGGAAAACGAGAAACGTGTCATACCGCGTGTCCACACCTCGAGGCGTCGTGAATATTCCGTAAAAGGTGTTGCAACGACCGAAACTCGTGACCCTCCACGCCCCTCCCTTCTCCACTCCCCTTATCAAATATTTTTATTGCACGCTCTCCCCCCGAGCAAATGATAAAAAAAATGATGGAACGGAAGACTGGAGTCGTGAAAGAACCCGGGGGCTCAAGCCCCAAGATCAGACACACGAAATCAATCACGACCCTCGTTTCCCCCACCCCCCACTCCCCCTCTTACCCACCCCAGCAGTCCTTCTTAAAAGGTTACACGTTAAGCAAAAGCCACAAAAAGTGCGTGAAACGTCCCGCTATCGCGGCCTACCACAACGAGGTGCTTCTTCCTCATCTACCGCCTGCCAAGCCCAGAAAAAATTAATTACCCCCCACGAGCAGCGTAGGAATAGAACGCGGGGAAGTGAATCCGTCCCTATGAATCGAGCTAGAATCGAGGTCCTACGACTTTCTCTTCGATGGCAAAGAGGTTAATGCCATCTGGCATCGGAGCATACACACGAGCAGAAGAAGAAAAATAAGTGTGTCAGCAGGAAGACGAGTCCGACAGGCATATTACCATAATTGCTGGTCTCCCTTTAAGCACAAAGACCCATAGGGCACCCTTTCGTTCGCGCTCCTTAGAAGTCCTGAATGCTCCAAGCACGGTCCCCATTTTTTTTCGAGGAAAACGAGGCTCGCCGGCATTCAACGCGTATTTACGCCTTTGTATGCGGAAGGGAACAGGGGTAGCATTCAATTCTCATTGCGCAAGGGAGTGACAGATCCGCATCCTGCCGTGAAATTCTTCACCGTGAAATCGAGAAACGACCGGTCGTGACTGGCTGATGAGAAGCCTTTTTTTTACGGCCTAATGAGATGTGCAAATGGCGGTCCCGGACCGACGAGCACGGCGGTCGGAACCCTCCCTAGAGCCTCGTAAACGCGACAGACGGACTCGAGATGCAGACGATCGGATGCAGGAATGCGGGGTGGATGCACCGACATGGAAGGAAGGGAGAAAAAAAACACTACGACGAGGATGGGATTCGAACCCACGCGGGCAGAGCCCAATGGATTAGCAGTCCATCGCCTTAACCACTCGGCCACCTCGTCTCGCTGGGGGCATGGGGCCCTAGCAGCGCACTACGAGTCTAGCGAGAGAGGAGAGCGCACGCGCCGGCGCCCGAGCAGAACCGCTCCGTCACTCTACGACCCGCCGCTTCTCTGTCAACTTCCACACGATCCCGCCGTTGGGGATTCCGTTCGATTTCGCTCGATTTTCACATTTTGCGACCTCTCACGGCCGTTTTCCACGGCGAGCATCACCCGACTGCATCACCATGGACGACGCGCAGCGTTAATCCGAAAATCGATGCGATAAGGACGCAAGAGTGTATACCTCTGTTGATACGGATCCCGACGGAGGCTATATTGTACCTTCGTCCCAGGTTCACCTGCCACCACCTGCACGAGAACCCGCAGCAAATCAACGACACGTGACCGAAATCGAAATAAAAGTGATGAAATGTGCCTGACCTCGATGAATCCGTGTCCCTCGGCGTGTACGAGCACGTCTCCGGGTCTCCGTCCACGGCCAGATCCGATCGGTAGTTCAATAACGTCAGGCTCTGCTGGCTCACCTTCCCACGGGCCAAATTGAACTCTACGACCCAAAATCCGACTTTTTTATTCTCGGCAGAGGAGTGGAGCGATGAAAAGCGTTGAACGAGGGGGATGACAACGATCATAAACGCTCAAGGTCATTCCGAGCATGCTCTGGATTATGAATCATCTCCATGACGACGTCTTTATTTTTTTTTTTATGCTCTCCTTCGCCGAGGTTTTAAAGCGGCGTGTCATATATATATCCAGTTACATCTGCACACAAAAGGCCGGGCGAAAGCAAAAGGCACGGGAGTGAAAGGCCAGATCGTGCCATTCACCCACGCACCGAGGCTCTTTAGGGAAACACAAAGATGCCCCCACACCGAGAGAGAAAACGAGGCTCATCCTTTTCTTTCGGGGGTCACAAAGGTACCTTTTGTCCTCCGGCCTTCGCGACTCCATCCTTCAAATATTTACCAACAAATCGCCCCCAAAATTGCGAAAATACGGGAAGAGCCACCGACCGCACGTGGGCAGCGCCCCGCTCCACGTCCCATTCTTCATGCACATCCGCTGACTCGGCCCGAAGAGGACGAACCCGTCCGCGCACTGGTACGTGGCCAGGTCCCTGTAGAAGTAGAAGGTGGCATCGTTGACGGTCCCGCCGTTGGCCGGCCGGCCGGGGAATCCGCACTGGAGGCCACTGGCACCTGGGAAGCATACAAATTTGCGTGAAGAGATCTGAAGATACGGATGAGCTTCTTTGGAATTCGGACGCGGAGATAAAGCGAGCGAGATAAGCGTCCTCTCGTTATGGTTAGAAAAATGAGAAAAAATGGAGCCCTCACGAGCCCCCTCAGGGGGACAATGGGTAATCCTTCCTCTCTCGGTCGTGAATCTCCTTTCCGCAAAAGAGAAAGCTCAATCCAACAAGAAAGAAAGAGGAAGAGAGCGTGGGAGACGCGTTGCTCGTCGCAGGAAAAACGTGTGACACGATTCCTCTTCCTTGTTGACCCTCACTTTTCCTTTCTTGATGTCTGTTCCCAGACAGGTTATTCTACCTATTATTATGTCGTGAGCGAGTGAAAGCACGATCGAGCAGACAATAAACAGTTAATATAGGTGATGACAGAATAACACGCGAAGAAACGCGAAAAAAACATTGCGCCCAACGTGGGGCTCGAACCCACGACCCTGAGATTAAGAGTCTCATGCTCTACCGACTGAGCTAGCCGGGCGGTTACTACTACACTTCCCCTATTTCCCTACTGGAGCGTATCTATTCCTCGCGCATGCGCGCGAACTTCCCCTGCGCGAGATGATGGGTTCCCCTCGGCCTCCCATACCCGCCCCGCGGTCTCCATACGAGCGAAGCAGGGGAGTCACCTCAGCCAGGCTCCACTGTCATACAGGCCATTCACGCGGGCATATATTATCCAATTGAACGCCGACGACCTCGGCCTTGAGTGGAGCAGCCATCAACTCATTTCGATCGTGATTCTCGGATGTAAATTATAAACATCGTTAGCGGATCTCTCGAATCGTTCGATCCTTGTCACCGTCCCTGCAGCGCCGGGAACGGTTTACACGCAACGACGCCTCCTCGGACAGGAAGCACCTGAAAGGCACCTGTTCCGACAATGGACGGGACGGGGGCCTTGTCTGCTCGAGAAAAATGCCTACGTGCATCGTTCCGGGCTGCAACACCAACTCCGGCCGGCCGAAGAACGACGCTATCCGCCCGACCAGCACGCACCGCTTCCCCAAGGATGTTCATCTCGCCCAGATCTGGTTGGACTCGGTCGGACGGGACGGGCAGATCCACCGCATCACCAACAACTGGGTCGTCTGCTCGAGGCACTTCGAAGACGATTGCTTCGAGCGGGACCTGCCGGTCCAATTCATCGCTTACAAGGCGAGACGCCGTCTGAAGCCGGGTTCCGTTCCTACTAAGTTCCTGCCGGAACGCGGATGCAAATCCGGAGCCAGCCTTCCCGCGTTCCAGGAATCACTGGATTTCGATCCCGAGTCCGGAAGGTCCTATTGCAAGGAGACGAGAAACGTTGAAGGCTGTTGGTGTTCCAACCAATCAGACTGCCTTTCTTCGGAATTTCCGTCCCTTCCCGACTCTGACCTTAAGCGACCAGATTCATAAATTACACAAGATTTCGGAATTTCTTAATGGGCAATAAAAAGCAATCTCACGTGAAATACCTTCCGAGTCATTTTTTTTTCCATATGTCCATCCAAGGGCGCAAGAGAGGAAAAAAAAAGTGAAAGTACGAAAATCCTCGATTTGGATTGAAAAATCGTCTGTTTCCCAAGTCCTGGGAACGTCTTTCAACACGTCCACTCCCTTGCGTCTCGCGAGACGTGTCGCAAGAATCGGATTCAAAGGTCGTGTGAAGCGACTTCAGACGTCTTCATCCGCCCCCCTTCGCCCCCTTCGCCCCCCATTGCCCAATGCCGACGGTGGCATGCAATCGTCTCCGTGTACATTGCCGAAACCGTGGCGCAAGGCCGATTCTTCCTACGCGCATTCGACAACGGCCGGTCCTGCTCTGAATGCAAAAAGGGTCCGGTAGAACGACATCGTCGACATTGTTGGAGCTCGACGAAGGTCGTCGGGATCGAGCACGGGTCCGAAAGCCATAATTTACATATAAACGAGAGGAAAGGGCTATCTTTTATTACTCCCGTCCTAGCACCTTCATTATTGACCATCCACCCTTTTTATCGCTCGCTCCGAGCGCAACAATTTGGAACTCTTCCAAACTTCGACGGTCTCCAATTAAGTGAGAGAGAGAGAGAGAAAAAAAACAGGGTGTTGGAAAGTGGTTCTGCGTGAAACAACGCGGGAACGACTGCATCCCCACGACCATCAATTGCGGTCTTCGAGGTCTCTTGGGAACTCAAAACAACAAAAAAAAAGCAAGACGAGAAGCCTTGACAGCGGTTTCGAAAGCGCCCCCAACGCCGAGCATAACTTTCCCCCAAGACCGACTTCACTGCCCCCCCCCCCCCAACCCCCCCCCTCGCGACCGAATCCTCTCGCAAGTGTGTCACACATTATGCGTCCTGTAATTGGCGCGCGACAGATGCCTTCATCGCCAGGTAACGGGAGCATAAAGAACGACCCGGCCGACAGGGGCCGAATCCCATCAGTCCGCCGATCCCGACCCCCGTCGAATTCGGGAATATCGATGACGCTGCCCTTCGAGAACGGCCTCGTCATCGCATCACGCAAAACCCGTGAAATCGGAGAGCCATGATGAAACCCACCCGAGTGCCTCGCACACATCCGAGCATGCAAATGAACGCGCATAATGAACCCAGAACGGCGATAGGTATTCCGTCGTTACCGCGATTGCAACACCCCCCTTCCCCCCCTCCTCCCCCCCCTCCGAGTCGTGAATCACGAGAACACCTACACACACCATTCCTAAGAGCAATTTTAACCAGGAATGCGCCCCTGCGTTGTGAGGACATGACTCGACGAATTCGGCAGAAAAAAAAAAACGGAAGAGGAAGATGCACATGGCGATGCGAACGGGACGTCGTTACGGGAGTGACACGGCAACAATTTTACCTAATGAGCTTGGAAACGCGCAAATGGGAACGAATGGGAGCGAATGGAAACGAAAAACCTCGCAACCGACTCGTTTGCCTTAATCGCCCGCAGCAAATGTTTACCTTCATCGAGCAAATATGTACCTTCATGGCTACCTTCATAGTTGATATGACGAGGACGAATTGATAATATTGTGCACTTGAGAATTCCAGTACTAGGTCGTGTACGATCGAGGTTTACTCAAAATGTTTAATTCCACTAAACAACCTCAAATATTTATTTTTCTCCGATCTTCTCGGAAATACTGCTTTTAATACCGAAATAAATAATTTTCACAAGGAGCAGTGCTCGTTCCTCTCACACAGGAGCGGCACAAAAAAAAAAACCATATCTCATGGGAATCTGCTTCTCTCGGCGGGGGAGCCGGGACCAACAAAAATAGAGATACGAGTGCAAAAAAAGACGGCTCTTTATCACGCACGTACGGAGATTCCGCAAACCCCGCGACCCCGTTGCGTCCCTTCGCTTCCGCGTGTCACGCACCGCGAAAAGGAGGGGAACAAAACTGGAATACGAGCACGCACGAGGAAAAAATTCACGCTTCCCGGATCTGAATAATTCCTCGAGACGAGTTCGTTCAGATGCAAGGCAATGATTATCATATCGCGGAAGACCGTTCGGAGGTCATTATACCCGGGTCCATGGCCAGAGCCCAGAACCGAATCCCACCCCTCGGTACTCCATGTTTTCCCATGTTTTCCCGTGTTTTCCCGTGTTTTATCAAAATACGGTAAGATGACAAGAAGACAAGAAGCGTGACGAAGAGGGTCAGAACACCCGAGTTGTAATAATATGTTTTAGTGTTGTAATGTTCGTGAGTGAAACTATACTTTCCATTATTTTACTCTCCTCGTTCGTTACCAAAAGAAATATGAGTATATAATTAGCATAATATTGAAATATGATACCCAAATAGAGGAGGACGGCCTGTTCCCCCCCAAAAATAAATCTCAACAGGCCTTAAACAAGACGTTTGTATGCGGCACACGACTCGAACGTACGAAAATAAATTCCGAGTGCCGTGCGACAGACCGAAACGGCCCTGACCCGACCCTGAAAAGAGGCCAGGATTTGGATCAGGATTAGTATCGATCTCGAGGCAGGAAGCCCCGAGGCCGAGATGATACCCGAGGGACCTCGACCTGGATTTCCACCCCTCAAAAATTCCACGCTTCACCGCATTATGTGCGTTTTTTCCCCCCGTCGTTGCTTAATCGACCAAGCACCCCCGAGTCTCAATTACGTCAGAGCCTGATTAAGAAACCCCCCGAGTGGAAATTTATACGCGGGGTCTCTGACCCTCGCCGACACGGCCGACGTCGGCCGTCGATGGCTCCGTGACACCCTCGCTTCTTCGACGTCGTCTCCAGGAAGAGAACAATTAGAAAGGACCGCTATAGGGGCTGGGAAGGAGCATAATTCACGCTCCATTCATTCATTATCGTCCGGTCCCGCGACCCAAAAAGCAACGGCGACGATGTACCGTACCGATGTCTCGCATCAACCCAGGGAAAAAAATAATAATAGCAAGCGATGAGGCAAAACGATCGCTTATCTTTTTTTCCCAAGACTTTTGGCACATCTGACAAAACAGTTTATCATCATTATTTTTTTTTATGATACCAAACTCATAAAGTGCACGCGATCCGGCCTTCCATCGCGCGTAACAAGCGCCCCAAATCTATTCCGGATGCAAGAGAATAAATGCGTTCATTGTGGCTCCTCGAAGGCAAGAATCCAGATCACGAGGAGCTTCGTCCTCGTTTCCCGCCGTTCGCGATCGGGACCGTCGAAGGCGAGACGCGGAGAAAGGCGAGGAAACAAGGAAATAATTACATAATTAAAGGATCCCGCGCCGTCATCACTTTCGCTTTTCTTTCACGAGGAAGCAGATCGCCCGTCGAGCGCGCACGTTCTTCACGCCTCGCATTATCTCGTTCGATGAACCTCGTGGGCGGACCCGACGATGCTCCTTTCATGAGTCGACGATGCTCCTTTTGTGCCGACTCGGCGATGCTCCTTTGGCGCGCTGCCCCCGCCTCGCAAGGTCGAGGCTGCGATGCTTCGGGTCAAGATGCAAGCGCTGGCGTTTGCATATCCTTCGGTGAAGAGCATTCAATAAAGCCATCTTTGTTTTCCCGTTGACGGATGAGTAAGACATAACCTGCTCTGCAAGGGTGGGGTCTTCTTCGACGAACCACAGGCTGAGAATAAGTATGCTTTCGTTGCTCCAACCATTGTACACGACTTACGTATCGCTTGTTGATGAAATTTCGCAGGTAAATTTTATTAATACTTTCCCTTTCCATGCCAGATCTCATCTTTACTCTCCTTAGCTGTAGGCGTACTTAAACCCTCAATGGAATCATGATCCCAAGACTCCCTATCTTCCACCAGATAACCCGGACATTTCGGCATTGCTACATCTAACTTTATCGCTTGACTCACCACCAGATTCACAAATGAAAATTACATTTGCAATTTCGTCCGATGCAACAACTCTGCCTTTCTCGGTGAATGCCACGTCTGTCCAGAGGAGGAACGCACTCGAGAAAAATATAAGCTGATCTGATACTGGCATCGTCATAGCACCGGAAAGCAAATTGAAACGTCGGTAAGGCATTGCAGCATACTCCTGCAGGCTATGATCCACTGACGTATAAGGCGGTGCCACAACGCGGAAAATTTCGAAAACGTATATATACATCAGTAACCTATCGAGCAGATTCATGGATGACGTATATATACGACCGTACCTGTCAAAGGGTTTAAAGATTCATTCCACGCCGAAGTGGCACGAACCGAGGCTTTACGGATCGTCCTTCCGGCTTAAATAGATCACGCCTCGGATTCGAATTAGACTTTGAAAGAAGCGAAAGCGAAGGCTGCGAGGACATTGACCTATGGACAAATCGTTCGGACCTAACCATGTAAGGTATAGGAATCGAGATGACGTTAAACCTGAAAGGAGTTGGAAGCGGGAAGCGAGTCTTGGGGCAACCGTGGTCTCGTGCGGGACACTGACTTCTAACCGGTTTTCTTCACACCGGGGTGCATGGAAAGGGAAAAGTGTCGTTGGCAGATGCACGTGATTGATTGACCGTGCAGCGCCACACGGTTTTATGACTCCGGTAATGACGACGGCAGCGTAATACGGCACGGACACTCCCACTTCTTTCGAGGGTGGGGATGCTCCGAAATTTCTGTTGTTATGGAGCTCCTCGGTCCGGTGAGGAGTGCGCCGTGCATGAATATCTTGAAAATTTTCGAATATTTAATTCCTGCTAGAAAAAATGTATCCTCCGAAGTTTCGACATTTTACACGAAACGAACGAACTAGCTCTGCTTTTCCTCATCGATAATTAATTTTCAACGATCGAAGGACATTTCGACTCGAAAATTTTCATTCCATGGCCACCAAGCCACCGTTGTGCGTGTCCACATGCACTCCGCTCGACGTTGCATCAGGAAAAGGCCAGGGACTCTCAATTACAACACGGTGTGGGTGTTTGATGACGGTGTGCGTATAGCGGATAACGATCGCCTGCAATCACGCTAACCAGTGATGCAACCCGCTTCTCTCCGTCCACCGCGACATATGTCTCTCCACCCATCCATCAGGGCCTTACGTGATCGCCTTCGGTTCGATCCGGGGGGAAGGATGAGTCAAGGGCATTTGCTGTAATATTCCAGCTATAATAACCCTTCCGTAACGAATTTAAATTATACCTCTTGTTTCTATCGGAATGAGTCACACCATGTAGATTCTAATCACCCCCGAAGGCGCAAGTTCTGTAATTAGTACCTTCCCTCGATTATCTTCATGTGTCAACAGCTACGGGGAAACCATGAGGAAACCACGAGGAAAATAATGCAAGAGGTGCACTAGAGGGAGTGTACTAGTTGGTACCCCTCTGGGTTCCTCAGGGTTGAGAGAGTCACACGCAACCTCTGTAAGGAAAACTCAGACAGATTTCCTTGAAACCTCACAAGGGGGTGGAAAGGTGGCGTAATCTAATCCATTTTTTCGTAGGCGAACCCAATGCCAGGAGATTCATGAAGTAAATATAGAAAAAATGCAGCATTTGGTTTCCTGGGCACGTTGCTTCCTATATGATATTGGCGGACAGTTAGAAAAGAAAACCAGAGCATGAGAGAAGCTATTCAGGAAACAGCTGACATCAAGATGCATTCATGCGGAGAAAACGATCGGAATGATTTTCGAAAAACCTCGAGAGGTGATGATGGAACATTTTTAGCGAACGGAAGCGCCCAGAAATCCGAATCACAGTCCATGGAACGGTCATAACAGAACTGGCATCACGGGGTGGGAGCAATTCGTTTGACAAGAAAATCTGAAAACCAAATTGCCAGTTTCACTCGAATTTTCGTCAGAAAAGAATCTCAAGGACCAAAAGGCGCGGAGACAAATGACTCGGCGAAAATCGTGCGCTTCTCCACTTTCTCTTCGTCAGCACAAAGGGAAAAACATATTCTGTCGTTTGCTTGGCAAGTTGGTTTCGCAACGTCGAAGGTCGGACGGGTTCTGGGATTGCGCGAGATCCGAGATATTTTACAAGATTACACGGCCGGACTGGTTTCAATGAGTCTGCCGGCCAGGAAATAAAAAAAATTCCTCCATGGGAACTTACCGAGGATGAAAAAGGAGAGCAGCTGGAGGATGTCTTCCATCCACATCTTTTCACTCGAGATTCGCATCGACTGGCATTTTTTCTCACACACGAACACGTGTTGACTTTGGCACAAGAAATCGGGACTTTCTAAAGGTCGTTCATCTGCGGGGAGACGGGAGACATGGGTAAATGAATCGGCACTGGGTCCTGACTAATCCAAGGTCGGGGAAATCGTTCGAAATGCGAATATCCTTTGATTAAACTCCAGGGAGGGGGGGGGGGGAGAGTGATAAAGTAAATCTGGGGAAGGGAGCCAAAAGAGGCAGATTAGTCAGGCTTGAAAGCATTTCTCTTCTGCCAGGTGGCGACTGAGTAAGTAGGTCTATTGGCGCCACTTCATGAATATTCGAAGAAAGAGACTATCGACGAATTTTCCCATTACCTTCTTCCACACCTTGGGCTAGGAATAGAGCCATTTCCTGCTGGTAAAAAAAAAAAAAAAGGAAAGGAGGCTTGGCTTCATACGATGACGACATTGACATGGGGTGCGGAATGAAAAGATTGAAGGAGGTGTGGTTTGGATATTAAACAGGGGGGGATATTACTTATAAAAGTCAGGAATCTGTCTCCATGGATGGATGACTTCCTCCTCTCAGGCTAAAAGTGGGCATGAAACCGCCCCAAAGGGCAACAGTGGTATGAACGAGGTGCGGCTCCACGAGTTACGATTTTTTTTGTTGTTGGTCTCGTGGTGAGAATCGTAGCGAAAACATGGGAGCTCATCTCACGTAGGTGGAAGTTCCTCATCGTCACGTATCACGGGGCACGCGCGCGTTTCCCTTCATCGCATTCTTTCAGTTCTTTTTTTTCGCTCGGCAAGCCGGAGAGTAATTTTCCCAGGGATTGATTGTGCAACGCCTTCTGTACCACTTCGTTCCCACGTCGCGCGGGAAGTTCCTCGAGGTGATCACGCTTTTTTTTTATCCCCTGAAGGACGAAGGAACAGGTTGAACTGCCTTCACCGAAGACCAAACCTGAACTGGGGGTTAAACAAACAGGAAGCGAGGTTAGCAGGAGATAAGCGTTTTGATTGGCGATTGGCGATTCGCGTTCTGATTGGTCTCTGCAGTCGGTGTGGGACAAATCACATGCCTCGGCAGAGATGACGTCACTCCCGCCTCCACTGAAAACACTAGTCGAGGAACCTTTACAAGCCTACTTCGAGCCCTAGTTTCCTTTCACTCTTTCCATCGATAAGAACGTATATAATTAAAAGGAATAAAGGCCTCGTCGAAGGGGGCGATAGAATAATGCAGACGGCCCCGGCAGATGGTCTTCGAATGATGGGAAGAAGCAATCATTCTAACACGCACATATACCCATGTGGGACTCACTTTGGGGGTTCATAATAACGCGGATTCTAGGCCAGTCTTCCGAGTTCCATGGTCCTTTGCTTCCGAATCCGTGGTGGAATCCGGCTCCTCGGTATGATCGCGATGCGTCACGCCGCGGGGATCGCGATAATGAAATGCGAGGGCCAAGGTGACGCTGCGGTTCCACCTGATTCCACTGCACGAGGGACTTCTATCGGCTTCCCTTTCCGTCGAGAGCTTCTTTTCCCTGATGAGAGCTTCTGGAGATTCGCCAGGGACTTCGGTCCTCTGTGGACGTAGTCCCGGATGCCAACACTCTGTTTCCGGCGATTTTCGACGATCGCGAACACGCGACGTCTTCGGATCGCGGAAACCTCAGACGAAATTCGTGATGTGGGCCTTCTTTTTCCCACAATTCTCGAAGAACGGGAAAATGAGGTCGGAGAAGATTCACTTCCGAAACCGTAAAATGATTTTCTCAAATTGTTACTGCGTGGACTCGAGTTGCCATGTGCTTCAACGCATGACACATTCTCTGGAAAGCTGAGGAATATGTACGCTCCACACTTCAGCGACTTGCTTTCCGATTAAATCAATTATTTGATGAATCCATGGGTCCCGAAGGAAACTGGAGTTCGGGAATTCCGCCTGATTAACAACGCTTTTCAGTTGAGTCAGGCATTTTTCACTTGGCTACGTCCACTTAGGGGAAGTGATCCATTTCATGCATGTTCGAGCCAGTGGAAAATTGTCTGACTCAAGTAAAAAATACTGCATCACCAAAGTAAGGACATTCCTGAAACTACTTCCTGTTCGCAAAAACCAAAGATAACTATGGAGGGGAATGGAGTCACCTTGAGGAGTTTCGACACGACTTCGAGACCGAAATCTATTCACGTCCGAAGGCGAATAAATAAGAAATGAAAACACAAGCAGGCACAGGGATGAAGCCACAGAGAAAAGAGAAGGAAACGGAGTTATGTATGTGTTTGCGGGGGCTCGTGATGCGTCACGTTTCCGTCCGATGCACTCGAGTACTGCAGCAGCTGGGCCTCTCCCTTCCGAGGGGGGTATGGAACAGACAGCGCGCAAAAAGGGGTGTCGATGGAGTTATGCACGGGTAAAGAAACACGCCGAGGAGGAGGCGGAGGAGGAGGTACGAACGAGAACACTCCGCACGCGACCGAGACTGGGACTTGTCTGAGAGACTGGGCCATGTGACTTCCAATCCTGGGTGGGTGATTTCGACAGGGTTGCCAGAGTGAGAGAGTGGACTCGGTCGTCTCCCCGGCTTTCGAGAGAGAAATGGCGCTTATTATGGAAATTCGCACGGTGAGACCTGTCATTTCGGCGGGATATATTGGAGTGCCTTCTGTTCGCACTTTCCTTTTGTCAGGGATGAGTGACGTGTCGTGAAAAACCCGTGTGGTTTTTTTTAAATGTGTAGTCTCTCGTACCATTAAGAGCCGGGAAGGAAAGGAGATACGCTCGGATCCAGTAACAAGACTAGAGGATGCAGGATCAAATAGAGGGTGCAATACCCGACAGCCTCACCGCCAGGGGATCGTTGCGCCAGGCACTGTAAGGTGATGCCTGGCACCGACACGTTTCCTACCGAAATGCGTTTTCACTGCCGATGATGAGAGATGACCTGTAGGTCCCCACCGATTTGGCACGCAATTGTACACTCTCGAATGAAACGGGTGTCGAAATCGAGAGGGATCGAGTGAAGAAACCGAGAGGCAAGGCAAGGGTCGAGGGGTGAAGGAAGGATGCACAGATCGAGCAACCGTGTCGTCGTCGAGGTCCGACGGCGAGAATCCTGGATTCTCCACCGTGCGTGAATCCTGTCTTTCCCCTCTTTTCCACCTTTTCCACCTTTTTCGGTATTCCTTTCTTCGAAATTCCCGGCCTAGACTACTTTTACCAGCCGGCACCATATGATGAGTTTCCCAGCTCGGCTGCGAACGAAAGTGAAAAAAGCCGTTCTCCAAAACGCATTTCCCGACGTGACGCGTCTGGCGAAATAAATCTTGGAAACAGGACCGAAAGTATCAACGCCGGCAGAAATTTCCCGAATCTCCCATTAATCTTCCCGACGCAATCCCGATCGAAATTAACATTCCCCCCACCGGCACCCCACCTCCAGGCCGTTCCAGCTCAATGCCCCCTCCGAACAAGTACCATTCCACGGCAGACGAAAAGAAAGCAGTACCGCGAAGGCATCGCAAGCCCTACTTTCTAGTCCCATGCGTTCTATCAAACAAATAAACACAATCGCCCTTCAGACATTTATGGGTTTTCTAAGTCAAACGCTGACAAAAGAAAGTCAAACAACACGACGAGGAAAGTCAAATGCGTCGCTGCGCTACTGGAGAGCATCAAAAACGACATGCGGCTTCGAGTGCATTTGCATATGGCGCTCCTCTTGCAATTTATAATTGGCATTTTGGCAATTTGACAGGTTTAGTCATGGAATGTGCTACCTGCGGTGAAGATAACCAGGAAACTGCTGCGATAAATGGCCCTAATCAATTAAGAAAAAATTAATTTTATTGAGATTTTTATTGCTGGGCTCAATTTCATTCCACAATACCGGTTGCACAA